GATTGATTTGATCCGCGTGCCTAGAATGAAATCCATATTATTATTATTTTTTTATCAGCCAAAAAAAAATTTTCGTTTTTCTGCTTGGTATTCATAGATTCATTCATTCATTTATAGTGACGATCGACCGGAAAAAACCCAAACAAATCGATCATTTTTTTATTTTGGAATTGAATTGAATCGAAATCCATTTTGATTCGATTGGATTTCAGATATTCTGATCGCAATGAAATGAATGAATTAATGAATCATCAAGATCATTATATTGTTCCCGGTTTCGGGTTACAATTTTTTCTCGTGAAAAAAAACTTTCTCAAATTGCAACAACTAAAGGAATGAATCAAATCCAAATGGGAAAATGATGCAAGGCTTTTTTTTCATTTTCCTGATGGTTAATCCCTTTTATATATCCTTTGTTGTTGTTGTTGTTGTTGTGAAACCAGAGAAGAATAACCACACACACACACACACACACAAACACAGAATCGTGTGTATTGCACAATTGTAAATCTCATAGAATAATTGATTATTGTAATAATAATAACATCAACATCATCATCAGCATTTTTATCGATTCTCGATGAGAATGAGAATGGTGGAAGTGAGCAAGAAAAAAAAACTTTTGCGAAATTCATAGAATTATTCTATAGATGTGAAAATGGTTAACATTCATTCATTGAGAATCTGAGAATATGGGATTGATTCGTTTCTGTTGTTGTTGTTGTTATTATTCAAGGGATTTCACCATCTCATTATCGTCGTTATTCTCATTATTATTATTATTTGTATCCGTTTCTTTTGAAAAAAGGTTTTTCTTTTTCGCACACACACAAACACAAAATCGATATCCATTCCAAGCCATCATCATGCCGCTGCCAACAACAACAAGTTTTTTCTACTTCGTTTTTCCAAAATGGAAAAGATTAATTGCTAGAAAGTTTTCTTTCTAGATTTTTTTTGCTTCGATTCAGTGATAAATAATGATGAGATTTTGAATTGAAATTAAAATTGAATTGAATGAAAACTTTGGTTTGAAAAAATTTGATTTCAAATCTATCATACATTGTGTGATCGATATAGAATGGTATTTTTGAAAATCCAGGCGTAAAATTTGTCAATTCAAAGATTTAGATTTCTTTTTAAGAATTTTTCTTTGATTTGGATCGAATTTATTCATTTTCGAAATTAGTGAAAGCTAGAGAGATGGGGCACCGACGGCCGGGATGCTTTTTATTGAAAACTCATCATTATCGGATTTCCGCCCGAAGAAAAAAAAAAAAAGCCAATTTGTTGTCTGATGCTGACATAATCAAATTCTTCACACATTCAATTTCGATGATGATGATGATGATTGCTTTGCTTGCGAAGAAAAAAAGTTTTTGTTGAGCCGAATAATGAATAAACTCAAATCATCATCATTTTTATCATTGATTTTTTTTCATATTTGTCAATCACAGAATAATAATCTAAATCCCAAGAATTTAATTATTTTTTTTTCTTTACTGTTTTTGTTGGTCTACACATCAATATGTGGTGATATTTTTTCCAAAGATAAGAAATAAATATGTGTCAAAATAGAAAAGTTTTCATTCATTTTTTTATGGTCTCTATGATTTTGTTTAATTTAATGATGATGAGTTTTTGTTGTTGTTGTTGTTGTTGTTGTTATCGTCATCATTCACATAGGATTGCAAGATTTGGATCGAAAAAAGGAAAAAAAATTCCTTATAAAAATGATAATGATTCTCGCACATTTTTTTTAATCATCTTCTTATTTGGAATTCTTTTTCATATCTACTGGTGATCAATCAATCAGAGAGACGAGAACATCAAGAATTCGAGAAAAGAGAAAAGAAGCAAATACCATCATCATCATTATCATTATGAGAATCTGTAATGTAAATGATTGAGCAGAAAATGTCAAAAAAAAAAAAACAGAATAAATGAATAATCAATCGAATTTTTGTGATTGAATCGAATGATTTTTTATCAATCGCGATTGATGACCAAGAAGAAGTGAAAAAAAGGTATTAATGTTTGTTTGTTTGATGAACATTTTCTTTTTCGTTTTTTTTCTTTTGATTTGACTTTTTGTCAATGATTCATTTCATTGAAAATGAAATTTTTTTTTCATTTTCATTTAATCATCATTTTTTTCGATTCACTTGACACACATACACTTTGATGATAATAATGATGAGTTCAGAAAGTTTTGCTTCAACAAAAAAAAGAATTAAATTTTAAAAAATCAACTACAATTTCAGTTGTTGAAATTCTTGTCGAGAGAAAGAGACGAAAAGTTTGTTTATTTTTCATTTGAAAGCAGAAAAAAAGAAATCACAACATTTGATTAACAATAACCAAACAAACAAACAACAAAACTGCTGGCTGCTGTATAAGAAGGAGGATTACAAATTTCATTTCTTTCAATTTGGTAGTAAATGCAAATTTCTACCATCCTACCATTGAATGAAATTGAAGCGACAGTGAGAAAGATTTCAAATTCATTTCGTGTGTTTACTTGTTTGTGCTTCGACAAGCACATGCATCCAAAAGTGAAAAGAAACTGGCAAGTTTCGAGAAATGAAAAAAAAACTTAATTTTAAGAAATTGTTCATTTTTCTGTTGTTGTTGAATCCGAAGAAATGAAAACCCAAAACCAAAACTTTTTTTTTAATTTCTCTTCGAGTGGCTTTTTCCACCCCACACGCCACTTTTTCTGATTCATGATGACTATGATGATGATGATGATGATGATGATTGTCGAGTTTATTAATTTTCTTCTTTTTTTCTCTTTTAAAAAAACACAAACAACCACCTGGCTCAATTTTTTTCCCGAAAATCATTTGGTCTAATGTGTGTAGTTTCCGGTTCAATTCATTTATTTATTTTTGATTCAAAATTGAAATTCAGAAAAAATAAATAATTTAATCGTCATCATTTTGATCGTGTTCGTAAATTATTCGTTTTGGTTCCGGTTTTTTTGTTTAAAATAAATCGATAAATTATATTTGTCATGTTTATTTCCGTTTTCTGCTTTGTAGCGGATGGGCGGTGGAAAAAAAATTAACATCATATTGAAAATGGACAAAAAAGACCAAAACAAAAAATAATTCACTAACAACCAACGGTGGCCAATACAATTGGCAAATTCGACACTCTCCAAAGTCGATATTTCTTGGATTCTTGATTTCCCCATGGATTCATGCACCACCTTGTGTACGATGATCGCCAAGATCTACCCAGAAATTTTGAAAATCGGTTATTATTCGGACTTTCGGCTCTGTATTTGGTTTTAGTTTTCATTCATTCTTTGCAATCCATTATCAACAACAACAACAACAATATTACCCGGCCGATGGAAACTTTTCATTTCCATTTCAAACTTCATCGGAATCTAATTTCTTTCTTTCTCTCTTTTTCCAATTTCATTATGAAAAAAAAGAAAAGAAAAACCTTTTCTTTCTCTTCTTCTTTTGTTTTCTCGAATTGATTTCATCACTTATTATATTCACCAGTATAGTGTGTGTGTAGTATACTGTAATAAATACGGAGTAAACAAAATGAAAACGAAATCCTAAATTGAATTTTATGTCCAAATTCTAGAGAAACAAAGAGACTTGAAGATTCAAAACTATTAATACTTTGAAAGATTTTGTTGTTGTTGCTGCTGTTCGTGTAATTGAAACGGTCGTTTTGGAATCAAATTATTGGATTCTCGGCTTTTTCTTTTTTGGATATTGGAAAATTTTTTCGTCATCCACCCACAACAACTAAATAAAATCGAGTCCAAAATCGACATTTTTTTTCTCTCAAATTCAAGTTTTCATTTCCATTTATTCGATTCTTTCCATCCATCATCGATCATAATCATCATCTATTCGTTTTCCATATTAATTAGTATATATATTTGAAACCAAAAAAAAAAACATACACATCATTTTTATCGGTTAAATGAAGGAAGTGAACAACAGAATCATCATTTACCGGCATCGATGAAAAATATGGAAAAGCATTCTTGGCTGCCATTTTGTCAATAAATGTGTCGTATAAATGAGCGATGAGCCGATACAATCCGGGAAAAAAAATTGAAAATATTTTTATCGCAAAAATCGTTTGCTATACTCATAATGAATGAATGAACAATTTTTCTTTATGAATTTTCATTTATATATATAACAACATTGTATTATGATCATCATGATGATTATTAATGAGACAAAACGTGAGTGTTTTGTGCGAATGAGAATGATCAAGCATCCAAACAACCAAAAACAAAAAAACAACGGCAATCAATCTATCCCTAAATCTATTTCCACTTTTATGAATCATCAGCATTGTTATTACTATTATTATTATTGCCATTCCATTCCATTATCGCCCATTATCAAACGAAAAATTTAATCTATTCGCTTACAGATTGTTGTGTGAATAATTTCTATTCCAACATTTTCATATCAATAACCATGTAATTGATCAATAATTTATAGCCAAAAAAAAACTAATGTTATCAGTTATTTACCCATTTACAAAAACAAACGAAATCATTCCCTCGACGATAAAGTTTGATTCATAAAACAAAAAACTTTTATTTTTTTTCATTCAAATTATAAGATTCTCTACCAAAAAAAAAAAAAAAAAAAATTCCCAAAATTCAATGCATTTCATTATAATCCATTCTTCTTACAAATGTTCGATCAACATTAATATTACGTCCACGTTGATTTTTCTGTTGATTCTGTTTACTTTTATCATTATTCTGTTTGGAATGATGAATTTCAGAAAATTTTAAAAATTCAAAACATAAATTTGAATGATGTGTATATCGTTTTTGATGACAGCTTTGATTACAACATTCTATTTGTCTTTTACATTGTTCAGATGATTCATGTGTCTTAGTGCCCGGTTTTAAACGATCAAAACAACGTTTACAGAGATTTAATTCATCAGCACGTTTTTGACGTTGTTCCATTGAATAGTATTGATTACATTGATAATCATTATGACCTACACGACCACAAAATAGACATTTATGATCTTTTTTATTCACCAGTGATTCATTATTCATCGATGATGACGATGGTGGTGATGAGATCGATGATGAATTCGCTTTCGATGTTTGATTTCGATTTTGATTTTGTTCAGAATTTGCCACAGCAGCTGATGATGACGATCGTTGTTGTTGTCGTTGTTTTGATTGTCGAACATCACCAACAATAACGGCAGCAGCAGCAGCAGCATCCAATGATTTATTTGATTTTGTTTGTTTTGACAAATTATTTTTGCTGTTGCCAAGCGGATTTGTTTTTTTATCAAATTCCGAATAATGATTTTCCAAATATTCAAATAATTTCGCCGTCTCCAAATCAGAAGAATGCTGTGAATTGCTGTCGCAGGAACTTTCTTTGTTTTCTGTTGATGATGCTGAAAGAAAAATATTAATATCACATTCGAAACATTGACAATTTTAAATCATACCATAATCAAATTTTTTCGGTGGGGGTTTCGACCAATCCATATTTTTTGGTATTTCACGTTGTTTTTCATCCACTTTTTTACTTGGGATGACGATTTGTGATGGCGGCGATTGAATTGATGATTTTTGCATTTTTTCTTCCAATTTTTCCATTTCTTCACCATCATCACAATCATTATTTAAACAATGATTAATGTTCGTAATCGTTGATTCAACAGGATTACCATTTCCATATGATGATGATTGTTGTTGTTGATGTTGTACGATACTGATCATCGATTGTGATGATGGGGATAATAATGATGACATTTTCGAATAAAGATGACAATTATTAATACCACCATCACTAGATTGTTGAAAATAGTCAACAATTCTATCCAATGATTGTCTAATCATTCGTGTGTAGGATCGTGATTGTATTCTATCATCTACAGTTTGATCTAATCGACGATCCCAATCATCAAGATTACTACAATACATGCGTAGATTATAATATTCATCCAATAATCTACGAATATTTTGTTCACGAATTAATAAATCGATAGAATCGGCTATGACATCAAGTTCAAGTCTTGTATCACGACGATATTCTTTAATTGTTTCAAGATCTTCCAAGTATACGGAAATTTTCACCATTTTATTATTCATTTTTTTTCGTTTCACAAATACGGATATTTGATTCAGTTAATTACGATGCTTTCTTTCGCGTTTCGGTTAATATAATGATGATGATGATGATGTTGATGTAAACAAAAAAAAATACTACGAAATCCACCCATCACTTATGAAACATGAATACATTCATGATGAGCAACACAAAAACCAATCTCCGGTGCTACCATCTTTCGTAAAATGGAAATGTTTTTTTTCCGAAATTTGGATAATTTTATTTTTTGTTTTATTGGTATTTGAGAAAAATAGAAATTTTTTTTTTAATTTTCAAAAAGAAAAATATTTTCAATTTATAATCAATTGTTTTTGGATATTTATGTTCGTGTGCATGTCTTATTATTGATAATTATCAAGATATATAACACATTCATTCAATAATGATAAGATTGATATTGACAAAACCAGTGTAAATAATAATGATGATGATGACCATCACCATTGACAAAAAGGTAAAGAAAAAATCAAGAATCGAATAAGGTAGGAAGGAGAAAAATAATCATGTGTGTATGTGTGTCCGATTCATGCTCATCGTAAAAGGGAAATCGATGATGTTAATCCATTCATTTCTTTCAATCGCTGGGCCTTTTTTCAGCAAATTTTTTTGTATAATCTTCAGCATTTTTAAAGAATTTTTTCCTATCTCTAATATATTCTTCAGCCAAATCTGTACGTAATGGATGTTCAGGTTCAGGATCATTCACTAGTGCAATCAATGCTTGTATCACTAGAATTGAACAAAAAAAAAAAAAATTGTCAAAAAAAGAATTCGAATGTTTTTGTTCATCAAGTTACCTTGCTCAGTACGTGTTGCTGGTTTCCAATTTTCTGGTTGTATAATCGGCAGACAGATTTGTCCTTTTTCATCAATATTTGGATGATAGATTTTTGTTTTAAACGTTATTTTCGGTGGCTTAAATGGATATTCAGCCGGAAAGTTTATTTCAATTCGAAATGCTCCACGATTATATGGTACATTATCCTATATGAGCAAAATAATAGATTATCTACACTGAATCAACAACAATCATTCATTGAACTTACAGGAACAACCAAACCTGACCAACAAAGTATATTGTGATCATCGACCATAATATCACGAAAACAACGCATACCGGGACCTTTACATTCTTTTAATTCTTGTAATTCCTAATGAAAAAAAAATTATATCAAAATCAAATCATCATTTTGAAGAAAAAAAACTTTACCTTTTGAAGACGACGTGTTGCTGTCATTTTTATTTTGATGGATAATGAATGATGATCTCAAAAAGAAATCAATAAATAAGGTAAATATTGATTTATTAATAAAAGGAGAAAAAATCTAGAGATAAGGATTCCGATATCACAGAATATGTAGATGCTAACAATGTACGAAATCGAATGATTACAAGTTCTCTTTTTTTAGGCTGCAGTTGTTGATGAAGAATATGTGCACCATAAAAAGACAACGACCACCAAAAAGCAATGTTATGTTTTTTGGAGTCTGATAATGGATTTTATCGCTACTAAGAGATTAACAATCAATCAAATTATATATCGAAAACATAGAAAAAGATTCAATTCAATTTCTACGAGAAAAAAACCGAATCAAAGACAAAGACAATCGAATGGATTCCGGAATATAATGAGATGACAAACAATAATTGATAGAATCGCCAAACAAAAAAAAAAAATACAATTGACATTGATGACATCAGATGGTCTTGCTGCTTTCTTCACCAATCATCATCATCATCATTATAGAAAACGCAGAAAATAGAAAAAAAAGATTACCACAGACTAAATTACACACACACACACAACACACAGACACACCACACACACAATCAAATAACTCAAGAAAGCCACTACGACAGAGAAAAAAAATCACACACAAAGATGATGAAAGCATCGAGATGCTGATAACTCGAACTATCGCGATAGTAATGGACGAATTTTTTGGCCGTTGTTTTTTTGGATTCGAACAGACAACGCATGCGAAAAGTATATTGAAATTTGATTGGACAATTTTCAAAAAAAAAAATCTGTTTCAACTCTGTGTGTGACCCAAAATTTTTATTTGTTTGATTACTTGAAAACAGTCCGTTTAATTTTTTTTGTTACTTGATTCGATTTTGTTACAATTGATTGATTGATTCAAAACAATTGAAAAATGGCTAATAATGAGCCTCATCAAACAAATGTCAATGATAAACGATTATTCAACCCGACGGATGCCACGATGGAATTCAAAATGACCATGGAAGATATTTGTCTGGAAGCTGGTTATTATCTACATAAAAAACCATTAGGTGAAGGTGGTTTTGGTAAAGTTCGTCTAGCTACACATCTTCGTACCAATCAAAAAGTAGCGATTAAAATGATGAACAAACAAAAATTGGGCCAAGATTTACAACGTGTTCGTATCGAAGTTGAAGCCTTGAAAGTTTTACAACATGATAATATAGCGAAAATGCTGCAAATCATTGAAACTGATACCGATATTTATTTGGTTCTTGAGTATTGTAGTGGTGGTGAATTATTTGATTATTTAATTTCTAAACGGCGTTTGACTGAAACAGAAGTTCGTATCATTATGAAAGATTTATTCAAAGTTTTACTTTATATTCATAATCGTGGTTTTGCACATCGTGATCTGAAGCCGGAAAATATTCTATTTGATCATAATCATCGAATTAAATTGATTGATTTTGGTTTGGCAGCCAATTCTTCGGTAAGTGGCGAAATGTCATTCGCGTTTTTTTAAATGTTTTTTCTTGTTTTAATTTTCGTGCTATAGAAAAACAAAGCAGCATTGGCATTTTTACAAACTTGTTGTGGAAGTCCTGCTTATGCCGCACCGGAATTACTTCGTGGACTCACTTATTCGGGACCGGCTGTCGATGTTTGGAGTGCTGGTGTTCTCCTTTATTCTTTGATTGTAGGCCAACTGCCATTCGATGATGAAAATATGAATAATTTGTATAAGAAAATTCAAATCGGACGTTTTATGATGCCCCAATGGCTTTCAGCTGATGTACGTGATTTAATCTCGGCAATGTTACGTACAAATCCAGCTGAACGTATAACAGTTGCAAAAGCCTTAGATCATCGTTGGATACGTAAAGGATTCACAGCTCTATCACCATCCGTACCGCCACCAATTTCACAACGTTGTCCACTTTCACCTCAATCAATCGACCAGAAAATATTCTCTTATCTCGAACAATTATTTCCACAAATGTCCGAGGTTGAATTACGTGGACGTTTAAAATTATTTGGTTATGTAACTGCGACTTATTTATTACTCAAACATGATCCACAATCCATAAAGGTGAGACATGAGAATTTGAATTTTAAATTAAAAATCTAAATTTGCGTTTTATTAGGCCGTACAAGAATTGTTACAATCTCGAATGAAACCATTGGCTCAACAACAACAAGAATTATCCACCATTGTTCATCATCAACCGCCACCTGCTCGTATTGCAGCCATAAAACGTAAATTACAACTTGATTGTGATATCAATCATAATCAAGAACAACAAACACCATCATCAAGTGGTGGTGCTGGAACAATGGAACCAGTTGCTAAAAAAATTGCAAGAGAAAATTTGTCGACACCAAAAAAACCCGTATTATTAAATGGTATACAACAGCATTCAACAACACCGAAAACACCGAATATTCCATTATTAGCTGAACGTAAACAAATGTTGGTTAATAGCGCCAATGCTACAAAATATTCACCAGCATCAATAAGAGTAGCAGCTACACGATTAACACCACAACAAGCTCGAAAGATAAAATCACCAAAACTAAAGAAACCGGTGATGAATGATGAAAATTGTTCGACAATTAAAAATCAATCAATCAAAAGTCCATTGACTAACAACAACAACGGTGTAACAACTGTTAAAAGTCCATTACGTGATATGCGTAATCAGGTTCTATCTCCAAATTCGTCGATTAACGACAATAAACAAACGATCCAATCAATTAAACAATCACCACGAAAAACAACTATGGTAACACCAACTAAATCATCTACATCATCTTCAACGAAAAAATCATTGCTTCGACGTTTAATGGCATCGGCAACACCGACGGCTAAATCTCATCATTCATCACCAAGAAAATTGGACGCATCCACGCCATCCAATAATATAACAATGACATCATATAAGGAACCACAAGAATGTTTGGATCATTTAACACTCACGTTACGTTCAAAAGGTGTTGAATGTAAACAAAAAAAGTATGTACCAGAATCTTCTACTATTAGAACTATGAATAGAAATCAAACATTTATCAAACGAAAGCGAACATTCATCATACGACAACAAAGACGACCAAGGTTATCGTCATCTCGTCGACCTCATCAATCGATAATGACAAGTAAATGGAAAAGGCTTACATTTTTGGTTAAAAATCGTAACCGATAAACGACAAACCAACTGTTGAATTTGACTTTTTTCTTTCTTCTTTGTTCGTGTATCATCTGTGATTCTAGATATTTATTTTTAAATTAAAACAACAACCAACGAATTTGATGATGATGTTCGCTTTGTTTGCTTCTTATTTTGATTGATAAAAGTTAACCCAATTAATGGCCCACTTTTTAATTTTTTTTTCATTTCATTCTTGTCCTAACCCCCGATTTTACCCATAATTTACTAGCTTTACCTTAAAATGTTTCTTTACTGATCGTATACATTCATCATTGAAATTTGAATTGGAAATTTGTCGATTCAATGGCCTATGTGTTATTCATCGTAAACGTTTGAATGGTGATGCATGGAATTATAAGAAAATTTGTGAATTAATCTTACAATTAAGCAATGAACAACAATTGGCCGCATTGAACAGTAGAAGCAATAGTGGCAATAAAACAATGACACAACAGCAACAACAACCATCACCTTGTGTCATTGAAACCGAGACCCGAGTTTGATAAAAGCGCGATAAATAGCAACCATCCACCCACACTTTTTATTTAGTATTGGCCAATCATCAAAATCTATCCATCTCGATTTATCTAATTTATTTTTTCTTGTTTAAAAAACATTATTCCACTTTTATATTTTAATCATTAAATCACATTTATATACAAATTTCAATTTCGATCATTAATCGGTCACTTGTTTGTGGCTTTTTGCTTTTTCATTTCTTCATCATCATCATCATTGTCTTCGGCTGTAGGATCTTCATAGTCATCAATATGATTCCAAAATGTAATTGGAAATTTTTCAGGTGATGGTTCTGATGATATCAATATTCTTGTTATAAAATCAAATGTTACACCTTGACCAGGTCGATTTGAATCGATTGCTTTTAATAAACATTGAAAATTTTCTTCAAGTTCCGCGTCATTTTGATTTAAACGACCGAATGGTATTCGTACGAAACCATAATCTGGTTCAATATCATCTTTGATCATTTTATATTCAATGCCATTAATAAAATAACGAACTAAACGTTCCATATCGAAACCAATATTACCACGTTGTTTGGTGGGAAAATAATTTCCAACCATTCCACGGATAGTGTTCAATTCAATAAGCATATCACCATGGCATACTAGATCATCGAAATTATCCAATGTTATGTCACCAACTTTAAGCATTCTAATGATATCACTTGATCCGGCTAATTCTGCTCCAGCTTTTCGGGCTTGTTCTTCATCTTCATCAGTTTTGCATAAAGCAATCACTTTACGTTTAATAGCGAACTGAAATATATTTGGATATGAAACAATACCGGTAAAACGATTAACAAATTTTGTTTTCTTCTTTGTTCGTAGATCTAAATCGATACGTGCTTCAACCAAAGCATCTGGTTCACCGTATAATTCTGGTTGATGAGTTTCACGAATCATAGCCATTACTTCAGTGAATGGATATTTACGTTCTTTATATTGATCCATGACGATAACATTATCAACTATTTCCGATAATCTTTTTCGATCTGCATCGTTGAATTTTTTACTCACTGCTTTCAATGATTTATCTACCGATAATTTTTGTGGTTTCCATTCTTTCGGTGGCTCAACTTTCTGTTCCATACGACGTAAACGAGCTAATTTTTGTTTTTCACGTGTCGCCGCTATACGTTTACCTTTTCGAGCAGCATAACGTTTCTATGGAATAATTAATGAGTCATTAAATAAAGAATCCTGAATCTTGGACGAAAAAAACCACTTACTTGGCTTGTGAATAAATTATTCGAATCAATGTTTAATATCGATGAAGATATCGGTGATAATCGATATAATGCTGTTTGGATTGGGAATTAAAAATTAATAATCATAGATGATGGACCATTTGAGAATTACATACCATTTCTTGTGTATGATTGAAAACAACATTGAAGAAGGAATGCCATGATTTGATTCCAAGAAAAAAAATTGAATCGAAAAAAAGAATAAATTCGTGGCCAACTATTTCAGCAAAGATCACATGTTTATCAATGTGTGACAATACGAGTGTAAATAGTGTTTGTGTGTGTATGAACTAAAATTGATTCGAACACTTGTTGATGTTTTTTTTATATTATAATCGATTGTCATCGTCTCTATTGCTTATCTCCTGCTACTTTTGGCTTGGCTTTGCTGTGAAGTGACTGAATTTTTGTAAACAAATCATTGGCACCACTAACCAATTTCAATATTTTTGGCCACGAAAGCCTCGCGATTCGATTTATCTTGTCTTTGATCGCTCAATTTATCGTAGAAAAAATTTCCTGTCAATGAAAAAACGACGGCGGCAAATTTACAAAAAAAATCGATCAAAATTCAATGTTGGCATTTGATCAACAACAACAATTCAAACTCATCATCATCATCCATCATAGGATGTGTATCATCTCGAATGATCATCTACTACCACAACCACCATCACTATTTTTTTCCAATGAATACAAATGGGCAACGTAATTTTATTTATCGTTAAGTTTTACCTATCCATATGGTTCCTACTAACAATTTCTGTATTGGTTTATGTTTGTCTTTATAATTGGCTAATACCTAGCTATGGTATTGATGAAGCAATTTTTTTTCATCATGATGTAGCTTGTACACAAATGTTTACAACGTTATATAATAATTTAAATCATCATCAACCACAGCATCAATACTCATCATCTTCAACATATCGACCATTGCCATTACCACCATCACAACAAAAACAATATGAAAAATATGAACCATCAACGGCTCTATGTCAAAATGTTTATTATGATGTTCCAAATAAAAGTTATCGTCAATTTTTCCATAGTGGACATGTATATTATTTTGAATTACATTTACGTATGCCTGATTCACAGGCAAATCGTAACCTGGGAATGTTTATGATCCGATTACAATTATTTGATCAAGATGATAATGAATTATTTGAAATTTATCGTCCAGCTATTCTACCATACAATAGTTGGTTATTATCCGCGGCGAAAATGATTGCCTATATCCCGCTATATCTTGTTGGTTGGTTAACTGAAATCTATTCGATACAGGTGAAATTATTAGATGAATATGCTGATATTGAACGATTGGATTTTTCACTTATAAATCATATACGAATCGAAATTGAAACATTAAAACCGATTGAAATTATACCGCCAAGTTTGTTGAGAATTAGTGTCCATTTACAAGGTATAAAATATTGGATGTATTTTTGGCCTATCACAACATCATTGGTTATTATTGGTCTGCTGTTTGCATTTTTATTATTCATTTACTTATGTTCCATATTACGACGGCCAAAAAAACGAAGAAATCAATCGAATGAAAATAATGATCAAGATGTTGATGATCGTGTTGCACAATTTTTCAATGATTCAAGCATTTTTGATCAACCAGATTCCACGACCACAACGAACAATCATGATTGTCAACATCATTTATTACAAGCTAGATCTCGTTCACGATAACAAATTTGAAATGGCCTCGTTTAATTTCCGGTGCGCTTTAACTCCATATTTATATTGGTATTATGTCCCAAAAAAAAACAAAAGACAAACCAAAACATACACATACAATAGTTGTGGTGATGATAGTATTATTTGCCTGTTGATTTTTTTTTCTACGTAAAAAATGGATTTTGTAAATCAAATGATTATGTAATTGTTATTTGTTTTCTTTCTCTAATTAACTAATTAATGCCAAAGTTTTGTTTAATATTAAATTATATTTTCTCTTTTCTTTTCTTTGAATGCCAAAAATAAAATAATGCTCAATTTACTATTCATCAAGTGGATTATTATTTCACAATCCTTTGATCACACAACACACCAGAGTGCAGTGATGGTGGTAACACCCTGTATATCCTATATATACCGAACAATTGTTACATCAAGTTTAGTTTAGTTCATCATATTCATCGTTAGTTTTTTTTTCTCATAGTCATCATCATTTCAGGTCAAAACAGAAATATAGAAAAAAAACTGGGCGATTTGCCATCGAAAAAAACAAAATCAAATTAAACTTCTATAAATGGAATTCATGAACTCTAGTGGACGACGGTGATGATGAAAAAATCTCATCATTTTCTTGGCAAATAAAATAAGGAAAACATTCATTTCATTGAACTTTGATGTAACGATGGATGATGCTTGATTGTACTTTTGGCAAGATGCAAAAAAAAAAAAAAATTCAGACATTTTTTTCTCTTTCCAAAAAGCGAAGAAATCCGTTAACGACTGCAGATGACTCATCATTATTTTTCTCATTTATGCTGCTGCTGCTACTGCTCATCATCAACGAATTTTTTTTTTTTTTTTTTGCGTGGCCATCACCATTTTTTTTCATAACCGACAAAAACGTAAAAAAAATCGTTTTTGATTGGCTGATGACTTACCACTCACTCATTCAACGCCACGTTGCGGGTTTTTTGTGTGTGTGTTTGTGTGTGCACTACTACTACCACCACCACCAACGTGCATTAATATCAATGCGGTAAAAAAAACTCAACGGTCATCGCTACAACCACCACTGCTACTACCACTTTTCGAGAATGATCGTTGCTTTTTTTTTGTTCGATCGGTTATTGTTGTGTGGCTTGTGTATAAATTTCAAACTCATTTCCAGATTGAGCTACCATTTTTGTTCTGATTGTCGTTGTGTTTGCTTTTATTGCTTTTTTTCTAATTTCGTTTGATTGTAAAGGCTTCATTGCTGTCCCTTTGCAATTTTCGATCATCAAAAAAAAAAAAAATCAATTTTTAAAATCATTTCTTATTATTTCTCGAATTCAATTTTACCTCATCTTCATTACTTTTTTTCTTTTCTTCAAACGTGTTAATCAATACCCGGTATGTATCTGGTTTTTTTTGTGCAGGAATTTTTGTCTTGTTCAACCGTTTTTTCCTTGGGCGTTGTCCTTGTTTGATTTCATCATTTTGACTAATGTTTTTTTTTGTTTCTATAGTAACCGAAAATGCGTGAATGTATCTCAGTTCATGTTGGTCAAGCTGGTGTCCAAATTGGTAATGCTTGCTGGGAATTGTATTGTTTGGAACATGGTATTCAGCCTGATGGCCAAATGCCTTCGGATAAAACTATTGGTACTGGTGATGATTCGTTCAATACATTTTTCTCGGAAACTGGATCTGGCAAACATGTCCCACGTGCCGTCTACGTTGATCTCGAACCAACCGTTGTTGATGAAGTTCGAACTGGCACCTATCGACAATTGTTTCACCCTGAACAATTGATTACCGGCAAAGAAGATGCAGCCAATAATTATGCTCGTGGTCATTATACTATTGGCAAAGAAATTGTCGACTTGGTTTTGGATCGTATCCGTAAATTGTCTGATCAATGTACCGGATTACAAGGATTTTTGATTTTCCACAGTTTTGGTGGCGGTACCGGTTCCGGTTTCACTTCATTGCTTATGGAACGTTTGTCTGTTGATTATGGCAAGAAATCAAAATTGGAATTTGCCGTCTATCCAGCACCACAAGTTTCGACCGCTGTCGTCGAACCGTACAACAGTATTCTTACTACTCACACTACCCTCGAACATTCGGATTGTGCTTTCATGGTTGATAATGAAGCCATCTACGACATCTGTCGACGAAATTTGGATATTGAACGACCAACCTATACCAATTTGAACCGACTTATTGGCCAGATTGTATCATCGATTACTGCTTCGCTTCGTTTTGATGGTGCTTTGAATGTGGATTTGACAGAATTTCAAACCAACTTGGTACCCTATCCACGTATTCATTTCCCATTGGTTACATATGCACCAGTGATTTCAGCTGAAAAAGCCTATCATGAACAATTGACCGTATCGGAAATCACCAACACTTGTTTTGAACCAGCCAACCAGATGGTCAAATGCGATCCACGTCATGGTAAATACATGGCATGCTGCTTGTTGTATCGTGGTGATGTTGTACCAAAAGATGTTAACGCAGCCATCGCCTCGATCAAAACAAAAAGATCAATTCAATTTGTCGATTGGTGCCCCACCGGTTTTAAAGTAGGTATCAATTATCAACCACCTACTGTAGTTCCGGGTGGTGATTTGGCTAAAGTACAACGTGCTGTTTGCATGTTATCCAACACAACTGCTATTGCGGAAGCATGGGCTCGTTTGGATCATAAATTTGATTTGATGTACGCTAAACGTGCATTCGTTCATTGGTATGTTGGTGAAGGTATGGAAGAAGGTGAATTCTCGGAAGCACGTGAAGATCTGGCCGCATTGGAAAAAGATTACGAAGAGGTTGGTTTGGATTCCACCGAAGCTGATGATACTGCTGGTGAAGAATTCTAAACATGGAAAACAAACAACATTGATGGCCACCATTTTTTCAAAAAAATTTAATTATCGACATTTAAAAATGAGTAATTTCTCTTTTTCTTTTCATTTCCATCATCAAACTAAATTATTAGCATTGATTTGATCTTTTACTTTCTTTATAATCAATTGGTGTGTCTATCATTTTGAAATAAAAATTGATAATTTAAATTTTAACATTCATATAATGCATTTATATTCGTTATATCAGCTTGAGAAAGGGATCGTTTAGAATATGATTCACGTAATTTAATTCGACGATTCCGTGGTATCATTGTTGGTCCGCCATTTTTACTGAATGCTTTTGATCCATAAATCATGATGGAATTATAATCAAAATGATTTGCTGGATTATATTCACTAATTGGTATCTTCACAAATTGTTCCATCATTTCAGGTTGAATATTTGACCAATGAATTTGGAGATAATGATCACGATCATAGCGCATATGTTCATGATACAGACCGATTGCATGACATAATTCATGTATCACGCTACCTAAATCATGACAACCATTACCCAATGACACAGTTTGTCGGCCACCTAATCGTCCGACAATTGAATGACAACCATCGCCATTGGTTAAATGTAAGTAATCTCGATGTACTAATTGACGTTGTTGAAAACTAATACATGTACTTTGTTCAATTTTTCGCATAGCATGTATTATTGTTGATCGATGTCGTTGTAATGATTTGGATATCTGATATGGTATAATACCATTAGGCCATAAACGGTGATTACGATTGTTGGATAATATTTGGCCAATATTTGGTCGACGTCTTCTTCTACTGTTGCTGCTTCTGATGATGACTGATTCTCGTATCGATGACGATCGACCTGCCACCATATATAATTGGATACCATTATCGATTGATTCGAATGATTGGAAATAGCCGATAATAATCGGCATCATAATGATCGTCGGCAATGCTAAAAAACACGATTTTCGATTATACATGGACCATTATCGTTGTCGTTGTTGTTTTGATCAAACTAAAATGAATTAAATCTGACATTGATTCAAAAAAAAAAAAATTGAAACATCATTGATTCAGTTTAATGATAATGCACCAAAAGAAACAACAACACATGGCACCGGTGTTCAAACAAATTTTCTAAAACGGTAATGTTGAAATCATTTTTTTTTATTTTTCATAATTTCATTGATTTTTTTCATTATTTCAAAAAGCACAGATTTTCAAACCTATTGTCGTTTATTTGATCACGTGTTTTCAATTTAATTCAAAGCTAAATATATGATTTATTGTTATGGCAAATTCACCATCATTTGTTCAATATAATCAACCACTCGTTTTCGATCATTTGATTGCCGTAATCTTTTGGAAATCTTTTCAACTCTTTCACTCATTTTGTCATCTTTGAGAATTTTTTCAATTTTTTCCAAAATTTCATCAGCTGTTGATTGATGAAGATCAGCACGACAGCCAAGACCCAATTCGGTGATACGTTGTGCATTATCAAATTGATCGCCAAAACATGGCAAGACAAGCATTTTTTTACCAAAATAAAGCGATTCCGTAACTGTATTATTACCACCATGTGTAATAACCATATCGACCAATGGTAAAATCGACAATTGTGGTAAAAACGGTTCACCATACATATTATCAGCTAATTTAATTTCAATTGGTCCTTTCGACACAATAAATCGATGTTTAGATCGTGATAAAATATCAATTAATCGTGGCATTACACCATTGATGACACAACCCAATGTTCCTAGTGAAAAATAGATTAATTTACCAGACATTTTTTGCAATTTGTCTGGCAAAATAAATTCTGGCTGCTTAAATGGTAACCGGGTACCACGTATCATGTGATCGATACCAATCAATTTAATTGATCCATCAATCGTTTCATCATCGTTCATCATATCTTTAAATCGTAATTCACGTGGCCATGAATACAGATTTAAATATGGTGAAAATGGATGTAAACGATTTGGAAACGGCAACAAGTCTTTTTTGCGAGCATATTCATTAACACGTTCGATTATTGGTTTCATTGATTCATTCTGTATTTGAACGAATCGTTTCTATTCATCATTTTGATCGTTACATGGTAATCCAGAGAAATATGGTGGACAGCGACGATTTTGTTGATCATCCATAAACAAATAATGTGGTGCAGCCGACATAAGCCATATCCATGGAATATTTGATCCAACTATAGCTGGTGAACAAATATATCGATCATTGATGATTAAATCAGGTTTTACCTCGTCGATTATTTTTCGATATGCATCTTGACTCATACATTCATCATCAAACATTGCTTCGCAAGTGATTGGTAAACAATTTTGCACTATATTCCATGCATCTTGTTTATATAGATTCGAATATCGTTGCATGAAACCTTGCCAAAAATCCAAATTATTATTTTCGGGATCTTTTCGTTTCTTAATGTCAAGTATTCGTTCTTCAAATCCATGGCCAGTTAAATAACCATTGAAATCTGGATCTAATGCAAAAATAACATGATGACCACGAGCAACAAGTTCTTCACAAAATCCATGACATGCATTTAGATGGCCAAAACCATTTAATGGTGTAACCAATATTCGTAATTTTCGTTGTTGCTGATTTTCGCTACTCATGATGATGATGATGATGATGATTTTGTCGTTTTAATTTTCAAATAAACCACAATCAACAAACTAACCTAGATTCGCTTGCTATTTATTTCAAATTCAAAGCATAACTTCGTTCATATGACCATGAAACACGATGCATTAATCAAATCAATCAAAGTCAAATGAACGTTTATTTTATCAAACCAAGATATTAATCTATGCTAGTGATATGAATATATCATCGACGTCGATGATTATGTTTTCGATTACGATTTTTTCTATGTTTCGATTTAGATTTAGTTTTTGTTCGTCCTCGTTCTCCTTGTCGTCGTTGTTGTCGTTTTCTACCCATACGTTGTAATAAATTTTGATCCCGACAAACAAGATAATGTAATAATAGATAGCTATTATAAATTGATGATAAACGTTCAAAATTATTAAGTTCCTGGAGATATTTCCGTTCATATGTTTCAATCATTGTACGTTCAGCTATGGAAATGGTTTGTTGTAATTCTATTGTAAATGAATCCGATGATGATCTATGATCATGATGGTGGTGGCCAATTGAATCTAATCGATGTACCACCGTTGTATCACTAGAACGATGAAATGATAAACTAGTACGTGCATCATGTAATTCACTTGAATGATAGGTATCCATTTTTTTTTCACTTGCAAACAAAAAATTAACAAAACCATCAATTGAATTGGAAAATTTTGTATTTTATTTAATTTCTGGAATTTTCTTTTTAATCAAATTATATATTTACATTAAAATCAAAGAATTTTATTCATTTTTGATTGTTTGTGCATTTATTCAATTGAAAACAAAAAATTTAAATTCCTGATAATTAGTTGGCTGTTGTATTTGTGGAAATGATTGATTAATTAGTTAATAATTTGAATTTGAAAAAGAGTAATAAGATTTCCATTAATAACAATCCTAGCTATCAATCAATCAATATATTAATATATTACTAAATTACTAAATTTCGATTTATCTTGTTTTAAAACAGTGACGATGTTGTTGATACCAGGACATCAGAATGGTTTTGCATTAGATTATGATGATTATGTAACCGTGATTCAGCCATTAGATTAATACCATTCAGATGTACAAATGCGGCCAATACAACAAGAACATGAAATATTTGATGTGATTGAAACATATAATCACATTTTCCGGGGAATAATCTTTCTGGTATACGATTAGCATATAATAATGATCCAATTACATATAATGCTCCTTGTAATATGAATAGATAATAAGCAGTTAATAGACGTGAATCCAATATGAGATACCAATGTACACCAGGAATAACATTCGATAGACCGAAACATAGAAAAACCATAGCACGAAAACCACGATATTGTGGTTCACCAAATTTATCCCACAATGAAACGGCTATCGATAAGATACATAATACCACACCAAATGAAATGTATAGTTTAAACATATTCAGATCTTCATAGAATCCATAATAAAGTGCTGGTGTCATTGATCCAATAATTTGGATTGATATGCCACAATAATCTAGTTTCGAGAAAATCTTTATAACTTTAGGTGATGCATAACAGCTGAATGTATGAAACATACATGAGAATAGCAAACACATGATAATGCCACAAAAATAAATTGTCAACATCAATCGATCAACAGCTGTTTTATGTGCGCTTATCGTTACAAATTCATAGATAAAAAGTCCTACGAACAACAGGGCACCAATACCATGTGTCCAAATGTTTCCAGTTTCCGTATGCAAACGAAATATTGATTTAATACAGGCCCAAAATGTAGGCAATGGTGGACGATGCCCGGTATGTAGATATTCATTATCTTGCATCCAATTTGGTAACATATTAAAATGGCAAACTTTCCATACGGCACCCGTTGCTTGACTAACAGTTTTCGTTGCTTGTTCCACTGTTTTACCAGCCAATTCACGTGCTTGTTCCCATTCCGAGCGGATATAATCATAACCATATTCGAATTGTTGTCGTAATGATAAACTACGTCTATGTCCTTTAACCTGTTGTGATGATGATGATGATGATGGTTGACGGTTCGGATTATTCGATGTAGTTAGAAAAGAAGAAGAACAGGAAAATTTCAATGGATAAAATAATACACGTAGTGATTGATCGCTATTTAGCATATTGATAATTGTAGATTCGCCGCCGCCGCCGCTGCTACTGCCGCTGTTGTTGTGGTTAGTTGACTGTTGACCATCACCATCATTATCATCAGCAGTCTGGTTAGTAGTTATGTTTGTATTAAATACCTCATTATTATTATCACATGGAACATCATTATTTAATGGACATTCTTCACAACAATGTTCATCATCATCTTGATTATCATTATTATAATGAGGACATTCTAATGGTTGACCACCAGTTATTGGAATCATTTTACGTTGAATTAAATCTGAATTTATTTCACTACGTTTACGTGTACGACATAATAATTCATCATAATTACAAAGGGATACACTACGATGATGATGAGCGTGGTGGTGGTGGTTCGAACACGATAATTTTGATTGTGATGGTGTAGCGTATGTTTGCATTTTTCGTTTAGTTTTTCTTTTGATAAAACAAAATTAAATGGAAAAATTTTTTTTTCTGAAAATCAAATTTTCTCTAGAAAAACAAAAAAAAAGAAAAAATCATTAATTTTGGGCAACAACAACAATAATAAAAAGTAGAAAAAAACGAATGTCTAATCAAATCAATAAAATAAAATCGATCGATTAATTGAATTGTTTGATCGAAACAAACATTCGAACTATGTTTATCTCAAATGCGTCGTGTTGGGTGTATTTTGGTGGAGATAAGATATGTTCGAATTCAAGTTTGGTTTGGTTTGGTTTGAGGTACATTCTATTTGGCTCATTATGTATTCAAATTATGGTTTTTTTTAGCATGGCCATGATGCAGTTTTTTTTGTTGTTTTTCAATCAAATGTATGGCCAACGTCAAACAAGAATATTGGCGACCACACCTGACAATAATAATAATGAAGATGATGATGATTCAGATAATTATTATTTTTTGAGCAATATTAAAATAGGCCATATCGAACAAAACAACCAAACCATATATAGGCTATAGAGATAGTAGTTGCCAATGTGTACCAAGGAATTCAATCAAATAAAAAAAAATCCAGAAATATCAAAAAGGATCCATGTTGGTTTTGAGCATGGTTTAGGAATAAAGGAGAAGATTTTCAAAACATAGCTTACCTTTTTATCAAATTAGAAAAAGATAAAGTTAATGATCGATCAAGTGTCCCAAATTTTGATTGATTGATTAAAATCAAAGGGATATGTGTGTGTGTGTGTGTGCGTATATGTTGGTGATCACAAATGAACGAGGAAAAATCAAATCAAATCAATTAGTATCGATATCAATCATTCGAAAGAGAAAAAGGAATGATTAAGCGAAAAACAGATCGATGCAAAATTTTGGAATCGTCCAAAATGAAAAATTTATTCAAGTCATATGAATCACTAACGATGACAACGACGACATTACCTAAATGTTAGGATTATTTAATCTCATATGACCACCACTATCAACAACAAAACACACAGACAGAGTCCAAAGTCTTATCCTTTCTGTTATTGCGAATGACGATGATTTTCTAGCAGCATAACATTCTATTACACGAAAATATCAAGCATTTGTATTTTGAATACCATCATCAAACCACACTACTACTACTACAACTATCACCAAATGACAACAATGAAAATGTACATGCGTAAATCGAATTTATGAAAAAAAAAATTTTAATTTTATTTTCGGCGGATGTTTTTGTTTAAAATTAAAAGTTGACAAAAAATTTTAAATAATGATAATGAATCGATGATTATGATTGTAATAATAATACCACCAGATAATAATCGATGAAAATATAATAAACAATTGTGGACAATGATGAAATGATTCTGATGATGATGAAATTTGGCGACAAATTGATGAACCATCACTATATTCCGAACAATAATCCAAAACCGATTCACGTACTGATGGTTCATTGGGTAAACGTTGATATAATTCGATTAAATTTTTTGGACAATCATCCGGTAATTGCAATGATGATGACGATTGTTCAATAATTCGACGTATAACACAATCACGTGCATGCCACATACCACAACAAGATGCTTGTTTAATATATTCATCATTCCGGCTAATTTGAAATTTAAATTCTTTTTTATCTTTCTTTTTAGCACTGCTACTGCTGGTAGTAGTGGTATGATAATAATGATGAATATCTGATAATTGATTACGACGATGAAATAATTCATAACGTTCTGATATTTTACGATAAATATGATTTTCATATCGATGTTGACATTCAAATAATGATGGTTCTAACCAACGATTACAATCAGGATGATTGGTAAGATCAACTTCACCAATGTATAATAATGGTAATTTTGTTTCATCTATAATATCATTCATTTGACTAGATGATAATGCTGATGCTGCTGATGATGATAATGAAGATGAAGATGATGGTGAGAAAAGAAAACGACGTTCACGATTCGATTTGATCCGATGATGATCATTATTGTTTTCGGATTGATAATCAGCTATATTGACAGAAGATTGACTAGGTAAGCTGATTACAATGGTGGAAAACAACGGAAGCAAACAAATAATAATGCCGGGCCATAATTGGAACCACCAGGCCCACCAATTCATATTGATCGTTTTTTGGCCAGATTGTTTTCGTTGTTAATTAGATATCTGGATGATGATGGTTACCACGACTGTTTTGCTTTTCTACTGGTGGTTGGTTTGTTGTCATCAAATGAAAATGGTTTTTCCTCGTACGTGCGAATGGTTGCCTCTTCTTTATTTTGTTCGTTCGTTCTGGTTTTATCGATGAGCAAGAGAAAGGGCGACTTTAATTGATCGATATTTTTTTTAGATTTGAAAATTCAAGCGTTCACCACCATCATTCGGCGACATTCACTTTCGTTATGAATCAATGGTCAGTTGTATGTGTTTTGTTTTATTTGAAACTAAACTATGTTTTTTTCATTTCTCCATAAAAAAGGGACGGTCAATCTTCAAGGTCAAGGTGAACATTCAAACACACACACACATCGAAAGCAATTGGCTGTTTGGTTAGTCGGTTGTTTGCTGTCATCAAACCAAGAACACCGGATGACAAATTGACACAGTGAAGGCCTCGTTTTGTTTTTTTTTATTATTATCGGATAAGGCCTGTTGATGAGGCACAATGATCGTCTGGTTTGATAACGTGATGTGATATGATGGCGATGTGTGTGTGTGTGTGGACAATTGATTCGAAGATATTCGTTATGGCTACAGGGGCAATGGATGTCAAATTCGAGAAAAAAAAGAAAAATGAGAAAACGAATCAACATTCAACAACAATTATACAACATTATAATCATAAAATGAATTTGTAAAAATTGTCGGTTAGATTGTGGACGACAACAGATTATACCCTTTCGATGCAGATAATCATACAGAAGAATGGAAAGCAAAGCAATGGATGATGTTTAGCTTGACGAAAAAAAAACAACAATGCAACACAAGGCCATCAAAGCCCGAATAATTGTTCAAAATTCAAATCCATCATGATGAATCGATCAAATTGATGTGCCGAAAGCCAAACCAATCAACAACAAAAAATGGAACGTGCTTTACACCGCCATAATCAACGACAAAACTGGCTATGAATCAAAATCAATGAATTTAAATTCAAAAGCAACAAGCCTATTCAAGATATTCACCAATGAAAAAAAAAAAAAAAAAGATAGACAACTCATAAGGATAGGAAATGGCCAATTTATGATCAATGTAGAAAAAAAATTGAAAGTAATAGTGATATAACAATGACAAATGATTTTGTTGAATTTGAAAAAAAAGAGAAAAATAAAAGGATCAATTTGAAATGGTCTTTTTTTCGCCACAAATTCATTTATTCATGATCAACCATTTTTACATACTCGTATGCATAACTCTTACCTATTTATTCATTGGCTTTTTGGGGGCTATGGCCATTGGATCGTATCAGTAAATGTGCATCAACACCAGCAGCAGTAAGCACCAAGGCGAATCGAAAAAAAAATCAACAACAAAAATGTTATGTAGTTATTTCAATCGTAACGAATTTTTTTTTCAATTTGATTGGTCACACACACACAGATACAGATACAGATAGCGACAATGTTTGAATGAATGTCTTTGATGTTTTTTAATGATCAATCACAGACACACACAATGTTGAACAAGTATCGAAAAAAAAATTCATTTTGGAAAATTATTCTGATTCTAATTCTCTTTTTCTCTGATCTATCTGATCATCATCATCATCAGGATGACAAACCAGAAAAATGAGTGAAAAAAAAATTGCATATGCGACATACTCGTACAAGCAATACAAACATTTCGTTGATTCGATGCCAAAAAAATAGATAAATAAATAAAAGCGACCGTTATAGCGATTGAACCCAACCATACACACATATAAATGACACATCCAAAATAACTACAACGACAAATTCACATTTGGCTTTTGTTCAAACCAGCCAATCACACACAGATAGATCCATAAAAAAACACACACACATTTGGCCAAATTTTTTTTGGTCCCGCTACAAAGCAGCTGTGCTGTTTTCGTAGTAAAGGATTACTAATTTTCATTTTGAGAATTTATTACCAACGATGATGGAGATGCTCGAACAGCAGGGCAATCATTTTTGCCATTTCATCCATAATGCCGCCGTAAAAAAAAACCATACATAAAATGAACACATTTGTGAACACACCGACGACGACGACGACAATAACCTCACCACGTTCGACACCATGTGACATAGTTGAATATAACCAGAGTCATATTATTATTATTAATTTATGTCACATGTGTCACATAATGAATGATGGTGATGATGATCGAGTGAATTTGCTTGGATCTCTTTTCTTGTCCAATTTTGCAATATTGCATTTTTGAAATCAAGGATAAAAATCGATTAGTTTATTACATATTGAATAGATGGCGTTAGAAGAATCATTTTTTTTTATTTTCGAACATGATTGGTTTGGCTATTTCAAACATTATTATCAACGGCCAAACTCATTTTCCATTTACGGTGATTTGTTTTTTTTCTGTTGATTATGATTCTGATTATAATAATGATGGTGATGATGACGACGACGATGTTGTTGTTGAGAATGTAAATGAGATAATTCATTTCTTTTTTTTTCTTCCGAAAAAAATGTACATGATTACCCATTCCATTACCGTAATCTAAAAATGATAAATTATTCATCACAACCTGCAATCAGCAATTTCTGTTTGGATGGAAAAAAAGAAAGATTTTCACATTTATCCCAATAGTCGATCGGACATTCCATTTTCATTCTGAATTTGTATTTGTGTGCATGTTTGTTGTTTCAAAATAATGATGATGGTGATGGCTAAGTTATTCGTATTGAATCTGGCCATATTGATATTTGCATCAAATCGATCCGTAGATTGTCGAACCAAGGTCAGAATCAATATAATTTTTTTAATAATTTAATTCTAATTGTCTATGCTTCTATTTAGGATTCTGAACATCAACCTGGATGGCTCAAATCGACAAACGGAATTCGTGAACAATATATGGCCAGAAATTATGGTAAATTAGATTTTGATCGTAGAACTGGACAACATCCACCTAAAGGATCGATTGTATCGTGTTCAATCGAATGTTTTAGCCTACCAGATTGTCATTGTATTGAGTAAGTGTGTCATAACCAATTTCAATCCTTTTAATTTTCTTAAATCATTCGACCATTTCATTAGAATCAACAAACAAAATGGTAATTGTCGATTCTATGATCATCAAAGCCGACAACCGATATTAAAAGCGCACAATCAAACACAATTTCTATATTTTACTCGTGATCATTTTGGACCATCGGATCAGAATCGAAGTAAGTTTCAAAAAATTTGGTCAATTTATTAATCCGTTTTCTTTGAACACAGTCGATATGGCAAAAAAAGCAAAACGAACAACATCAAATCAAGTAGCAGGTAGTTCTGAGCCGCTGGCTTGGATACAATATGAATTCAAAAAACCAATCTATATGACTGGTTTTAGTTTTCGGCAAACACGACGTAAGTGCAATACGGTACCAGATAATCAGTTTAACCGATGTTTGTTTGTTTTTTTTAATTATAAGGCTCATCGATGATGGCTCCATTTATAGTTCGAGTTCAGAATGAACCACCGATGATAAATAGTGATGATGGTCCAAATGACAAAGATGATGATGATGGAACTGTATGCTATCGTCATAATGTATCGAATATTAGTGGTCAACCACAATTTTCATCGGCAAAAAAATCTGATCGAAAATGGATTCGTTGTCAGGTAATGATAATGTCATTGAAAAATAGCATTTTAAAATTCTGTTTTCCATAGCCATGTGGATTAAATGGTCGATTTATAACATTAACATTGGCTCGATCAAATGGAACAGCAATGAAATCCAATGTAAATTGGCCATTAGAATCATTACGACTCTATGGTTATTGGAATGATAATGTTTAAATGAATCAGCAGCAGCAGAAAAAGAAGAAATGAGACATTCATTTATCCAGACAAATACTTGATATGTTCCTGGATCAAAATCACATTATATCACAAATTAGCAAAATTATTTAGTTATATTATTTCTTCCTCACTTTTTTCTGCTTTTCATCATCATCATCATCATCATTGAGAACATCGCGATCATGGTCGATGATATAATACATACGCACAGCAACAATAAATAATGGTGACGAACGTAATAATAAACTAAACTTAATCAATGTCATTTTGTTTGAATAGGATAGCTTTTTTATTCAAGTAAATAAATTAAAAAATGGAAAAATTTCACAATTTACGAATTAATAATAACAACAACAAAAAAATGGCCGCCATTTAAAAACAAAATGATTAAAAGCTACGTGCAAGCAAGCAAAAAAAAAAAACCGGCCTTGGTCAGATTCAAACAGTGTGCAATCAATAAGCCTGTGAATTTAAAGAAAATCTTACATGACCAACACACACACACACACACAGTAATCTATTATGTTAATGGATTACACATGTATCAGTGTGTGTGTGTGTGTGTGTATGTTATATATCCGGTGCCGTTAGCTAGTTAGCTATAACTAAAAATCTTGACAACAAACGACTACAATTTTTTTGTGTGTGTGTGTGTATGTTTATTCGCATTCGAATTTTACAAAGATTTTACCAACAAAAGTATCTATACACGCACACAAATAAAACCACTAAACAGTGGCAATCAAAAAAAAAAAAAAAAAAAATAAAAATCTTTTTCAAATCCAAATGTAAAATACACACATAGGTAAAAGGTTATGCTCGTGGTTGTTGTTGTTGTTGTTGTTGTGGTGGTGGTGTTGACCAATTATTATTTCATGTGATTTTCCACGTGTGTGTTTAGTTCTGGTTTGTTCGTGTGGTTTGAATATTTTCTGTGATTATACTGTGTGATCATCATCATCATCATCGTCAGAATGAATTTTCTCTTGTTATCCATACATTTATTATTAACATTTACATTTATTGTATTATGCTGTATTGAAGTAATTGTCAATACAATACTGGCAAACATGTCAGAAACATTGAATCAATTAAATCAACAATATGGACTTCAATTAACATTTTTGTTAAATATTTTGCTCTATTGAACAAAAAAAAAACAGCAAACAAAATGACTTGACCAGCATCATCATCATTGTGATTTTAAATCCAAAATTCAACAAATTTTAAATTTTAAAACCTGCATTATGATGAATTGATAAGCACCATCATCATCATCATCATCATCATCATCATCATTATATAAAAAATGCCATTCCATCATCTGCATTCATTCATCGTCGTCGTGCTTACACAACACAATAGAAATGCAACGAAAACATTTACTATTTTCCGTTACGATGATGATGATTGTCGTAGCCATACATTCTGCATCAACAACAGTGGTGGATGATAATTCTAAATTAAAACAACAACAACAACAACCAGTGGATGACGAAGCCAATATTGATGCCGACATTCGACGCGTAGAATCATCATTAAATGAAATTGAAAAATTATTAAATCAAGCAAAACAACAAACAAATGGAGATGGTGGCCAACGAGAACAATTTAGCGAACTACGACGACATATTCATATAATTAAAGATCAATTACATTTGATACAAACAGAATATAAAATGAACAAAGATTTAGATCATTTTCTTGAACAAATACAACAATGGCGTATGGATGCACAATCGTTAGGTCTACGATTAAAACGTGATCTTCAATCATTCCATAATAATAATGTTGATGATGATAACCAATCAATGAATCAATAATTTGTCCATGTGTCAATAAAAAAAAAATTACATTCTTATCATTAAAAAAAAAGAAATTTTTGATTGTTTTTGGTTCAAATTTAAATGTTCTTACGTTTGTGGATACCAGAGGATTGCCTGTTGAAAGACAGAGAAAAATTTCCGTTTGAATCTTGAAAATTGAAATACAGTGTGATTCACTGTAAAATCACTGTTGTTGCTCTTGTTGTTGTTGTTGTTGTTGTTTCTGTTTGAATCGTTAAAATAAACAAATCGTCAACATTGACATTTTTTTTTTTTTGATGAATGAATTGGTTGATTGATCAATTTTGTGTGATTGCTGGGTCGTGTGTTTCTATAAATTTTTTGCTGTCTGAATAAATGATAGTTCATCATCATCATCATCATTAATCAATCGATCGACTCTTGAGTGTGTGTGTGTGTGTGTATCTTCAAGTATTACAACACACTACTACCGGGATTATAATAATCTGTCATTAATTTTGGTTTAATTTTTTTTTTTTTTTTTTGGAAAAGTTTTCATGTTTGGTTTGTCAGATTTTATTTATCAATCTAAAAGTGTTAATTGCACATAACATAAAAAAAAAGTTTTCATTTATATCAAAAACAAGAGTGAGGGGGGTGGAAAGTAATCGATATATCGATTTTCTTATTTGCTTTTTGCTTATTATCATCATTATTATCGAATATATACGAATGATGATAATGATTTTTTTGTTTGTTTGGTTATCATTCGAAATTTGGATTTCATGATGATGATTGCTCTTTAAAAGCTACGTATTTGTCGATGATTATGATTTAGTTTGTTTCGTTTATTATTTCTTACAACATTTTTTTTTTGTTATTTTGCAAATTTATTATTTCGTTTGATTTGATTTTCTTTGGTTATTTTATCATTTCATTTTTCTACTTGGCCATAATATCATCATTTGCTGAATCTGTGTGTGTGTATGAATGTATGTATGCATGTAGTAGCTACGTTGTTATTGCCACATACAAAGAGTTTGGAAGCAAAAAGCAAAGAAAATTTGTTCATCACTTGTGTGAAATAATAATAAAAAATGTTCATCATCATCATCGATCAAATGTATCAAATTGAATGATTTTTTTTTGTTCTCTAAAAAATTTATTTGTTTACCGTAATTTTGAAAATGTAAATTTTTTTTCATTGTTGTTTGGACGAAACTAAAAAGAGAGGTAAAATTTGCATTCTTCTTCAAATTAATATCTTCGAATCAATATATTTCGGGTATGTATTTTTGTTTTCAATGATCCGTTGGCGTTTATTTACCCGATTTTTTTCCCATTAGTGATAATAAGCTAAAGCGAAAAAAAATAGATACTCAAATGGATAATCAATCATTACATATGATATTATTAGCCATATTATGGATTGTAACATTTAATTCATTTCGCCTTACAAATACCAATGTAAATGCATATCAAACATTTGAATTAGTAGATTATTGTCAACGTTTCGATGCAAATGTTCAGTTTCCAAATGAAAATCGTGATGATGATATATTTTCATCTGGTGTTATTATTGAACCACCACATCAACCATCATCATCAAACTTTGACTTGAAATCATCCACTATCAAAAATAAAAATGATGATGCATACAATGTATTACGTATTGATGCTGATTATGTTGGTAAAACTGTTGTTGTAGATACCGGGTATGATACATCAGCTGTACGATTAATTGTTGATCCTGAAAATGTGTTTCGTGCACGGCTTCGATGTTCAATTCTGGTCATACCAAAGAAACCGAATGGCCTGATTGTTACGTTACGTAAGCTTCGTGTTCGTCCTGGTACTGATTGGCTGCGGATATCGATAAATAATAGTTCATTTACACGAACATTTTCTCACATTCGCATCAATAGTGAACGTGATTCTGTTGCCTACGTTGCTCATCATGGTGTATTGATTGAATTTGCAACAAAAACCTATTTACCTAAAGAGGAAAAAGTGGAAATCGAACTCATTCTGACATCATTTCGTGAAGCTGATCTTTGTGATATTGATGAAGAATTTGATTGTGGTTCATTTCGTTGCATTTCCAATCATTATGTGTGTGATGGCTATAATAATTGTGGTGATGGTCGTGATGAAACCAATTGTCCAATGGATAATATTACCAATTATTTGATTGTAAGCACAACACTTTTATTGGTGGCATTCATTATTTTCCTTTGCATTTGTTATCGTTGTTGTTTTCAATCTTGCAAGAATCGTGATCAAAATCGACATGCTGGCGGTGCTTATCATAATCGTAAACAATATCAATATTTACGGATTCGAACGAATTCTACACCTGTAGCTCCACAATCGCTGGCACCACGATCACGAAATCGTTCACAATCAATACAATCAGAATCAGATCTACCACCACCACCACCATCATCTCAAGAAATCAATACTTCACCCCCACCGAATTCTGCATTGAGACGTTTTAAATTGGCTCACATGGCAAGTGATTCGATGCCGGTTTTGGTACCAACAGCACCACCACCACCAACGTTAGGTCAACAAACGAATTATGGATCATTGGGTCAAACATTTTATCCATCAACATCAGCATTTGTCGCTTATCAACCATATACAATCACATTGACATCAGGTACAAATCGTATCGGTTTGCGACCATTACGGCAATTACGTCGTCAAAATAGCCTGTTGAATGAAGATGTTATACCTGAACATCATACATTTCCCTTACCACCATCAACATATCCAATACTACATCCACAGCTATTTCAACCACCATCTCCAGAATCACATTTTACATCACAACCATCATCACAATCAACGACAAATAATGATCCACCACCACCACCATATACACCACGTGATCCAAGACAATAAAAAAAAATTCAACCAACAAATAATCAATCTTGTTTTGGATTGTGCAACAACAACATATCACATTTACATTTATAAATCATCATCATCATCATCGCATAAATGCCACTTATGAATTCGCTTTTCCAATTTGGAATTTGCTTGTGCCATCACTTACTCTCATCATCAAATTTTTTGTTTGTTTCAATTTTTTTTTCGATAAATATACATCCATGCATTCATTCATTTCACTCATTCCATTTGATTATTATTATTAAATCTCACATTGCAATAACCATAATATATAATGATGATGGCATTATCATTTATCATTTTAAATCACTACTATCACCGATATGCTGATGATGATGATGATGATGATAAGCAGTTAGTAGTGATATGATTGCTATGTTGAATGTTACTCTCTCAATCAATTTCATTTAACCAATATTTCCACTGTCTGGCTGATTGACTGACTTCAATTCGACCTTGTTGAAATCATCATCATTGTAAAACGTTTTTTTTCTGGAATAAACAACCAAAACGACCATGCCTTTTCTACATATTTTCACAACAATTTCTCGGACACAAATACCAGATAATTTTGGTCCAATGTTGGCCAGATTATTATCGCAAACATTACGTAATAAAACAGCTGATCGTGTTGCTGTACATATTGTCGGGGATCAATATATTTCAATTGGTGATAATCAGGAACAACAACCAATTGCATTGGTTTATTTGCGATCAATTGGATCAATGGATTTTCCAGATAATCGAAAAACCGTACGTGCAGTGACAGATTATATCCATACAAATCTTGGTATCGAACCATCACGTATTCGAATGATTCTGCAAAATTATTCCACTGATATGATTGCTTCTGGTGGTCAATTGGTTTGTGATCAATTACAACCACCACAATAAAACAATGTAAGTGAAGCGAAACGAAAAAAAAATTTATTTGAATAAAATTTTATACAAAATCTAGTTAATTTGAATAATGAAATAAAATATATCACACACACACATACGTACAAAAACCGTTATTTTTTATGACAAATAAGGCACTAATTAATTAATTAATCTAAACATTGATGACATCACCGGGCTATACCACCATTACCACCACCAGCATTTCCTGAATTGCCAATATTACGTTGTTGTTGTTGTTGTGATAAATGTTGATGATAAGCAGGTGGTGGTTGAACATTATAATATTGTTGTTGTTGTTGTTGTTGGGCTTGTGGTGGTTTTGGTGGTAATGGTTGCAGAGGATAATATGGCGGTGGATGTGATGGATAGGTTGATGATTGACCACCAGCACCAGCACCAGATATTCTTGGTGGTGTATATGGTATATTACTATTTGCTGTTGCTGATGTATGATTACCAAGATGATGGTGTTCAACATGCGGAAGTGGATGTGGAAGATGATGCTGCTGCTGTGTTACGTGATGATGATGATGATGGTGGTGGTTTAACATTGATGATTGAACATTATCACCACCAACAGTGGCTGATTGATTTACATTTACATTATTAATATCGGCAGTAGTAGTAGTTCGTTTTTCAACCAATTTTTCAATCAATTCTGATAACGGAGCTAATTCACGTTTATCAATCAGATTGAATTCTTGGACAAAAAATATAAAATGCTTAAAACTTGTATTCAAATGGGCTTCCTCATCCAAATGAACGACTTGTGGGAAATGTTGATGATAAATGTGGGCATAAACACGAAATAAACGTTTCAATATTGTTTTAGCAATCGATATGAAATTTTTCGGAAAAGGCACACCTGTAATATATGGGAAATTAATCAATCAATCAATCGAATGAATCGAAATATTTACCTATTTTCGATGGAAAAATATTCTCATCATCCAATTGATCCTGTACCCATGTCATTAGATAATCAATATATTTAGGTGCTGAACATTTTATCGGTTTTTTAACCGTAGTACCATCGGCCCAATGATATTCATATTTAGGACCAGCAGACATTAGCGGACATGTTTCTTCTGTACAAAATTCTGTTATCGTTCCATAAAGCATATTGATTTGATTGAAAAAATCGACAACTGGAAAAAAAACATACCGATCAATTAACCAGAACGGATTTTATTTTGCATAAACACTTACTATTAACGGCAACCCATTCATTGAGATCTTCACCTTCCGGCAACATTACAGCTAAACGTAAATCACCTGAACCTAATGTTGCTGCTGCATGTTTCATCAGATCATATTGATGTGTGCCTTCTGGAATGTTTTTCTTTGGTTTAAATGTTTTATTCGATCGATTACCGCTTTGAAACAAAAACAAGAATGTTATCAATTGAAAAATATTGAACAAACAAATCAAATTTTGTTTTACTTACAACAAAAAACTCATCTCGATTCAGTTTTTCTGGTGGACACTTTTTCGAGGTCAACACAAAACAACCAAAGTGACCAAAATGATGATGATAAGCTTTGTGTGTGTAGATTATTTGGATTTCAATCATTGATTCAATTTAATATACAATGATTGATGATTTGAATCAATGGATTCAAACAAGTGAATCAATAATCATCATCTGCCATCTAATATATGCTGTGTGTATATATCTGGTTTGCCTGCAACAATTGTGCACTAATCAACGAGTGGTAATTATCGTCGGTCGTCGTTGTCGTGGTAGCACCATCATCATCATAATCACTATTTTTACTCAACGTTAAATCAATTCTTCATTCGGTTTACTTTGTTTTTTTTTATCACAGTATTGGTGGTAGTGGCGGTTGTTTTACAGTAAAACTTCGGTTAATTACACGAAGACAATGTATAATGGACAACGATGTTTTTGTAAACGAAGTAAGATTGTATAAATTTTCTATTTTAACATTACCATGTCAACCGTTGTTGTGAGTGGATAACGCATTTTTCAAGTTGTTTCGGTATTCGATTTTGGTGAAAGAAACAAAACCGACGGGCTAATCAAGCTAAAAAATAACTCTGGTGTGTCACTCATCAAGCCAAACGATTTAATCAACGAAATTGTTTTTTTTTTCATTCGTTTCACAATCACAATTTTCATTTTAATACTTTGCCGATTTTTTTTTGTCGTCCATAATGTCTACAACAACGGATAAAGATCAAACGAGCACTAAAGAAGAATATTGGTATCCATTAGAATCGGATCCAACATATTGGAGTGATTACCTTCGATCATTGACAACCGGTTCATCGAATGGTCGATATTTTATTGATATACCGTCGATTGATCTGGTAGATGAAATGGGTATATTTGAATGTCACAATATTATTGCTTATATATTTCTGTATCAAATGAAATCATATCAACAATTGGGAACATTGGAACCATTGGATTCAAGTAATTGCCGAAATCTTTTTTTTATGCGACAATTTGTTCACAATTCTTGTGGATCAGTTGCATTGTTTCATGCATATATCAATACAATCGCTTCGGATAAATTGAATGGTACGGATTCATTGATTGATCGTTTTTATCAAGAGAATCGTGATCATACTCCTGAAGAACGTGGCCATTCATTTGCTACAAATAGTTTGCTAAAACAATTACATCATGATGTTTCTTTACATGGTCAAAGTGAATTACCATCAGATGAACAATTGTCTAAAATTGATTATCATTATGTTGCATTCATACCGCTGAATGGTTCTATATTTGAATTGGATGGCCGAAAATCATTGCCGATTATCCATCAAAATGATGATCAAACGCAGATTGATAAAGATAATTTTAAACGTCAAGCTTTAAAAATTATTAAACGTTATATGCAGCTTGATCCAAATAATCTTCATTATTCATTACTTGCTTTATGTACTTCATCATCATCATGATGATGATGATCACCAAATTTCATGTCTGTCTATCATCATTGTCAATTGTACCACACGATGTTTCCTTGATTATTATTTTTTTTTATATGTTTTCGTTTGTTTGTTTGATGATTATGATGATCTTGGTGATTAAAATTAATTTGCATACCATTTAACACTCTATTTATATAAAATGTCTATGTCAATGTATGGGTGCAATAAAATACAAACTGTTGATGATGATGATGATTTTTGCTGCCTGGCTTTCTGACTGACTGACAATCGTCTCGATGGTTCAGGCGCAATAGATATATTCTTTCCTTGTCGTTATTCTTTAACTAAAAAAAAAATAATAAAAAACAGAATTCAGTGCGAGAGAGAGAGAGAGACATGAAGTGATGAAATCATGTAAATAGAAAAATGCCAAAAAAAACGAAAGAAAAAAAAGAAAAATCCGATTTACTCTGACTTACATCCATCCAAAGAGAAAGATCTTTGCAGATGATGATCATATGCATTTTTGATTTTTCAATTTTTTTTTTTTTTTGAAAAGAAAAAACAACCAGAAAACCGAAACATAATTCGTACGTCGAATTATTTTCGTTCGAATTTCTGTTTGCTGTGGCTCATTACAAATTCTCACGTTCGATTTATTTTTTTTTGTTGTTGTTGTTTTGGCGTATGAATCAACGGCGAATGACGCCCGGGTCAGTTTCAATCCACCACTGATGGAATTACATTTGGAATTATCAATAATTCATTTGAAAAAATGATGATGATTACATTGCCAAAAACATCACTCATCATCATCAACATTGTAGGCAATTTTATTCTTGTTTTTTTTTGCCGTGTGCCATACGATACGACGATATACAACTTATCATTATTATTAAAATTGTTCCAAGATGATGATGATGATGACGACGACGACAACAACAACAACCACTCCCACTTTGCTGGCCCAATTTTCTTGATTTTTCCATTTTGATTGTATTTGTGAGTGTGTGTATCCGTGTGTGTGTTTCCAACTATCCAATTTTCGGAACGAATAAATATTTTCGGCAAAAACATTGTGAAATGAGTGAGTTTGTGCGATGATGATGATGATGATGATGGTGATAGTCCAGATCCACGAATCATCATCATTTCATAAACATTAACAATTGACGGCACGATATCCAAAGTCCAGAAAAAAAAGTTGACTATCTATTTATCTATCTATCTATCTATCTGTTTACGTTGGTTTTTGTTTTGTTGGCCATTTTTAATTACAATCACATGTATTATTTATTCGCGTTATACATACCATGATGGTGTGCGGTACGGTGTGTGTGTTGTAATGTATAATTCACCGAAAAATTTGAAATGGAAAAAGATTGCCAGTTTCCTCATCATCATCAACAGAAAGAATAAATGAAAGTTTCAAGTGTTTGGCTCTCACTCAATAATAATCTCATGTTCTAAATATTCTCGATGGTCACGCGGAATTCTGTGGAATCGTTATAGATTCTCTGATTCTCATTTTTTTGTTGTTTATGTTTGTGATTAAAAAAAAAACAAAGTCAAAATAGAAATGGTTAGTAACAATCGTTATCGATGTCCACATAATAATGATAATGATAATGGAAATGGAGATGACGGTGGCGGAAACCATTTTGATCCAATTGGTAACAATGATAATGATGATGATGATGAAAACAGTGAAAGACGAAGACGACAACGACAATATTCAAATCGTAGTGGTATAATAATAAATGATTCAAATACCTATAACCATAATAGTGGTAGTAGCATTAATAATGTTGATGGTGGAATGAAATTACGTTCAAATAGAATTATTGGAACAATCATGACGACAGTTGTATGCGGCGGTTCACCATCAAAAACAACAACCGGTGATGATGTTGAAAATTTCCAGAATCAAGATTCTTCTTTTTCTTTGAAATCAGACCAGAATGGAATGAAATTATTATTATTTGAGGATTCCATCATTAATGCAAATAATTCATCGACATCTGATACGTTCAAATCGATAAATAATAATCGTGATTCAAAAATCATCATTGCCAATAATGTTAAAACAACTTTAGGTGATAAAAGAAAAATTCCTACTCGACAACAACCAAAAACACCATCTACGATTCACATACCAAGACAACAACAACGACGTTCGAGTGATGATGATCAAGTGATAAAAGCCAAATCCCAAAACCAATTTTCTAATGAATCCACCATTAATCAAACGAATCAACGAAACAAACGATCATCATCATCGACAACAACCACCAATAAACAACAAACGCAAGATAATAATTTTGCTCAAAAACGTCGCCGATTAAGACGTCCAATTTGGAATACAAATTCTACGAAAAAATCCACATCATCATTATCGGATGTTAGCTATTTCGAACAACAAAAACAACAGAAAAAAATAGTGACCACCACCACTACCGAAGAAGAAGACATTGATAATCATAGTATACGTTCATCAAGTCCAATGAATATTTGTCAATCATCATCCAATGATTCAGATAGTGGTTGTATGAGTAGTAGTTATGGTGAATCAATACAATCACCATCGACAACACCACAACAATCGATTGTTGTTAAATCATCAATGGAATCATCACAATCAATCAACGGTTCTAATGATAACAATGGTGATAATTGTGGAACATTATCATCATCAACAACCACATCATCATCATTATCCGTAGCAATACGAACACCACCATCAACATATGATCCAAATGGTTTTGGTGTCATTGAAGATCAACCTGAACAAAATGTTCATGAATGTCGTGAACAAGATGATGAGCCAAAGTAAGTGTCTTAATTTGTTTATATTTTTATTTTATGATTTTTTTCTTGCGATTGACGCCATGAAACAACATGAAAAACGAATGTCTCTTGCAAACATTGACATGTCAGACAACCAGATCATACAGGCTTCACATTTTGATTGATACCAAAAATTGTGCATCATTCAACTTAGCTAGCAACTATTCATGCAATAAATCTAGAGAACTAGATTCTTTTTTCTTTATTAGAATCGGGCGAAAACAAAAAACAAAACTAAAAATGAAAAAAAACATCCATGATGTCGGCTTTGTTTGTTACTATAAGGTGACACACACGACACGACAACAAATGAATCGAAACGATTCCGATTTCATCATTTGGCATCAGACCAATCTGAGACAACTGTACTTTATAAAAAACCGGCAAGATTATATTATTTTCGGGTGATACCTTGTTGTTGTTGTTGTTGTCTTGTCTTGTGTGTGTGTGTGCGTTTGTTTGTTTTTTCACTGATTTTATACGCATTTTACTAATGCTGATTAATGTTTGTTTTTTTCGTTCAATTCAAATGAAAAAAGTTAATTTTTTTTACACTTTTTTTTTATTGAATGACAAGTGACTGCCTGTCATCTGTCATCATATCGAAAAAAACCCATTATTTTGAGTCTGGCTCTGACATAACAGAATCATCATTGTTGTCCTCGATTCTTAAAATAACTTCTTTTTTTTATTGTAATGGCCATCTATCTATTTAGCAATTACAATGATTTGCATTGAATTCGTAATACGATAATCATTAATTCCTTGTTTTTTTTAATGGATTTGTTTGCTAATTGGAATTGGATTTCTCTTTTCTTTTCTATTTTTTTCCATGTGATTTAGTAAAATTTTTGTTGGTGGTCTACCATGGGATACAACTGAATGTAAGTATTGTCTGTCACACAATGTTTACCAAAAAAAAAAAATTCCGAATGGAAATTTTGTTCCTAATCGATCAAAAAAAAAATTAGTAACCCGAACTGTTAGTGAGAATTTTTCCGTCAAAATGGATCGAAAGAATTCGATCAGTTGACATTCAAATCAATATACAATATCGATTCTAATTCAATGTTTTTTCATGCAATTAATACCATTCTGTAATTACCGATGTTTATTTTTCTTTTTTTGCAGATGATCTTGAATATTACTTTAGTCATTTTGGTAAAGTCACCGAGATCAATATCAAATATGATCCAATGTCATGTTTAACACGTGGTTTTTGTTTCGTAACATTTCAATCTGAAGAAACTGTCCGCACTATACTCCGGAAACCTGTTCATATAATTAAAGGCAAAATAATTGAATTAAAACGTGCTAAATATAGACCAATTTGTAAAAAAGTATTTGTTGGTGGCCTGGATCCATTGATCACTGAACAAGATATTAAAACATATTTCTCACAATATGGAACGGTATGTATGGCTTTTGTTATGTTTTTGATCCATTCTATTGATCATTGGTCTTTCATTCCTTGTCCAGGTAATTGCCATAGAATCACCTAAAGATAAAATACGTAATCGAAAACGTGAATTCTGTTTCATTGTTTTCGATAGTGAAACAGCTGTCGATCGTGCCTGTTATTATCCACGACAATACATTATCAATAGGATTTGTGATGTAAAAAAAGCACAACCACAACCCATTTGTTATCAACAAAAACGTATGGCTGCCACTGCCGGTTTAGATCAAACGCTCAGTACAGCTCATTTGAATAAAATTCTACTAAGTGATGGTGGAAAAACGGCAGCAGTTGCTGCTAATATCGCAACAGTCGCACCAGATAACAGTGCCACCAGTTCATTACCACCCGATACTCTAAATCCGGTATTGACACCATTGGGAACCATTCTTTATTATCAACCTTTGAATTCTGCCCGTATTACGACAACGGCTACACCTACGTCTAGCCTCAGCCCTCGTATAATGCCAATAGTGGCTACCAGACCACCACCACAGGCAACAGGAACAACGATACCCTTTGTGCCATATCCGGCTACAGGAATCTATTCTCCACAAGCTTTGTATGCTTCTATGGCTTCCTCGGTTACAAATGGTTATACTCATAATTTAATTACCGGCGCCGCCAATGCTACAGCAGTTACAACGGCTAATCAAACATCAAATCCATTAGTTGAACCATCAAGTGTAGCTGATTATTACCTGAATTATTATGCTCAAACAGCAGCCTATTATGCCCAACAACAACAACAACAACAACAGACTATTAATGAATCAATGTCCAGATCGGTTGCACCGAATCCATCAACAATGGCCATCATATCATCATCTCGTTCATCATCATCAAGTACATCATCGACAACTGAATCATCATCGGAATCAAATAATATTCTTTCATATAAATCATGCCTTAATACGAATCCAATCATTGGCAAGCCTTCATCATTAGCAGCATATTCATTTGCACATCCACCAAGAATGACTTCTTCTTATTCACACCATCATCATACATTTATCTATGATACAGAGGGTACAACAACTTCCTCTAATACACCGACGAATAATTGATCAAATTGACATTCATAAATTCATTAAAAATCCATGCAAAAATATACATGTGATCTCATCTCATCTCATTAATCAATCGGCCCTTATACGACGATAATTCTTTAGTCATTTTCATACACACTCACACGCACACACCAAGAATAAACAGAATACACGTGCACAATTTTTTCTTTTGAGTGATTCCATTATTATATATTGATTTGTTGTTTTTATTGATTATTGTTATATGATAATCGACATTTTTCAACAATTTTCATTGTTTATGTCATTAATCACAATTTTTTCTCAAAAAAATAATAAAAGCTATTGTTCCACACACGCTGCTTGTGAGTGTGTGTGTTTGATCGATAAATAAAAATCTGAATTGAAATTAGATTCAATTTTTATGTCTGGCCAAAAAAACTTTCTTTTTGTTTTTTTGGCTGCCAATCAAAAAAAAAAACTGAAAAAAGAACTTTTTCCAGCCTGACATATATACAATCAATAAATTAATCGATTGGGAACCACCAAAGAATTCTTTGATGCCACAATTATTACCACACACACCATCATTTGATCGGTTGTTTATACGACGATGATCAATTTCGGTCTGGTTGGTTGGTTTGATGTATGGCAATTGGCTGGCTATATCAATGGTGTATTCATTTCATTCGATTCATTGATGATTCGAATGTTTTCTATGATTGGTTAGCGAAAATGCAATCATCATCATTCAGGATTTGGTCAATTGTCATCATCTGTTGCTGGTGGTGGTCATTGATTGGATGGCCCATACAAATGTAAATATTGTTCTCTTTGAATCATAATTTAATGTATATTGATATATTGATTTTGATGAATTTTATAGTTGCCAATGTTCATCAGATATATTGAAAATTAGTGAAATGGTACGGCAAATGGTAAACAAACGACATTATAATAAAGATATTCGACCAGATTATGGTAGTGGTGGACCATTAATTGTTAATGTTACTATCGCTATACATGATATTTATGATATATCGGATGTAAATATGGTAATCATCAATGAATGAATTGATCGAATGATTGTTTACTTGACTTACCAAAATGATTCTTTTTTCTTATTGATCAAAAGGATTTCACTATCGATCTTCATTTTCGTCAATATTGGCGTGATTCAAGACTTATGTTCGAACCGATCTCAAATATAACTCGTTTGTTTATGGGTGGTGATTTTTATGAATTAATCTGGCTTCCTGATACATTCTTTTTAAATGGAAAATCCTTGCAGACTCATCAATCAACAGCATCCACGAGATCCAATACATTGATTGAATTGTCTCATAATGGATCAATATTGTATAGTACACGTATGACCGTTGTGGCCAGTTGTCCAATGGATCTTTCTTATTTTCCGGCTGATCGACAACGTTGTCAGCTGAATTTTGGTAGCTGTACGTTTTTTTGATGAGAAAAAATTATTTTCTTCTGATTTTTTTCCATTTTTTCCAATCAACAGATGGCTACACTATCGACGATATTATTTATAAATGGACACCGGGTAAAATTTTACTTGAAGATCGCAATTTGGCCACTTTTACTGTTTCTGGACTGAATAATAGTCACCAGATTCGTCATAATGATGTTGGATCATTTAGTCATCTGATTCTCTATATCGATATTGAAAGATCCACTGGTTATTATTTGTATCAAACATTTATACCGGCATTTCTTATCGTTCTCATTTCATGGATACCATTCTGGTTGGGTCATGATGATCACGTCGAACGTGTTGCTATTGGTGTGACAACGGTGTTGACAATTACTACTTTGATAACAAGCACGATGGAATCGTTGCCGAAAATTTCTTACGTAAAAGCATTAGATATTTATCTTTTTGTTTGTTTCATCATGGTATTCATATCACTAATTGAATATGCTATTGTCGGTTATTATGAACATTCACGTCGTATACGTTTTATACATCAATGTTTATGTTTGAAACCTATTGCTACTGGTCAACAGCCAACGAATGAACCGAATCACCATCAGCAGCATAATAATATTCTGGAATCACGATTATTTATGGATCAAACATCATCGATTGATTATTATTCACGTTGGTTATTTCCAATCATTTTTGCATTGTTCAATGCAATTTATATATGGTTTATATTTAGTGTTAAAGAATTTTATCATCATGATATTTAAATTATCAATAAATTTCAAAAATTTGACATTTTACATTTTTTTTGATCGTTGATTGATTGATCATATTGAAGTGGTGGACTTTTACCAAGAAAAATTTCTTTTAAATTTGTTATTGGTATAGATGGTTGACGTTGTACTAGTGGATCACGTGGTGGTCTTTGTATACGTTGTTGATCTTTACTGACATTGATGTCTAAACGTTTTTTAACCCATTCAGTATCGACATGTGAAACATGTAGATCATCACCTAACGGCATTCCATTTCTACGACGTACATTGGATCCAATTTGTTCAATTTGTTGCAATCCATAATCCATTTGTTCATTAAGCCATTCATCATATGGTTTCCCAAGCGTTGGTTTATTACCATTTTTTTCTGCTATCTATATGAATAAATAAATCGATAATCGATAATTGAAATAAAAAAAATGGAAACAGATTTCACTTACATATCTTCCTAATGTATAAAGACAACGTGTTACTTTCGGCATATCTAGCATTGATAATAAATCTTCAACGTCGAATAATTCCGTATCATTGAGACCATATTGACGACATGCATCCAAGAATCGGTGAATATTTTCCACTTTTTTTCCTTTATCATCACCTTTTTCCAATAAACTCTTCTTCATGCTTGATGTTTGTTGTTTACCATTATCTCGTAGATCGGATGCTACATTTTCCATTAATCGACATAATACAACACCATCACGTAAATATTGTTCATATTCATAACTAAATGATATTTCTTCAATCATTTTCCATAACCATAATAAAAATTGACTTTCACGTACATAATCAACATCAGAACGCTGTTTTGTGTATGTTTAGGATGGATAAATATTTGTATTTAGACAATGTTTTTATTATGGAAAATAAAAAAAACTTACAGGTTTTGGCATAGGTAAACAAGGTGATGTGTTATCAGCATGGTGATTTTTAGCCATAATTTTTTTATTTTTGATTCCTCTATTTGTACAATCAACTTTACCTTTCCAATGAAAAAAAAATATTCTGTCAGGTCAGATCAGGTCATAGGTTAATATAATGTTGAAATACAAAGTTCAACAAAATGAATACAGGATACGGAGAGAATGGATAGGTCACTTGTTGCCAATAATAATAAATTCAATTAACACTTGGTCCACTTTTTTTCATCAAAGTTTTTTCATTCATTTTTCGTACAGCAGGATTTCTTGATGTGTATGTTGTGTTGTGTTGTTGATTTCTGGGTGTTGGCATCATCATCATGCATCATCCATTCATCCGTCCGTCATGAATTTGATGAGATCGTTTTGTTCTGTTTCTTTTTTTTCGGTAGCAAAGCAAAGCAACATCTGCATGTTGGGAGTCAACCACCGCGACGATGATGATGATGATGACAATAGCAGCTGTTGGCAGTGTTGTTGGAAAAAAAATTCTTTCAAGCAAATTCGAATCCTGGTTCGAATTCTGCTGTGTTCATCGGAATAATTTCTTCTCAACTACAAAATTGAAGTAGTGGTGATGGTGGTGGTGGTGTTGGTGATGACGATAAAAAGGTCAAATTTAAAAATAGACAAAATTCAGTGATTTCAACAATTATATTGTTGCTTAGACAAAAAGTTAATTTGAATAAAAATATTCCATTCACAATGTACGTACAATTTCAAATGATTTCAATACATGGATTTATTCGTCAGAAAAAAATGATTTATGACGAGATTAACATCAAAAACAGGATGTTTTTTTTGTTTTCGGTTCATGTGTAGGATTGTTGGTAATTTTATCGCTACTTTTGAAAATGGACGATGCTAATCTATTTACGGACATTGAATTTTATCGCTACTTTTGAAAATGGACGATGCTAATCTATTTACGGACATTGAACGAATCCGATGATTATGTGTGTGTGTGTGTGTGTGTGTGTGTGGGTGGGTGGAGGATCTGGTTTTTCAAGCTGTTTTTTTTGTCCATTCGAGAGGTGCTAATATTTTTTTTCAGTGTTTTTGTAACTGGACAAAACAAGCCAGAAAAAAGTCTTGACCAAATGTTACACAATTGATGATGTATCAGCTGTTTGTGTCAGGTCTATTGAAATTTGAATCGAATGAATCAGAATGAACGAAGAAAAAAATTAATTAATAATTTATTTCCATTCATCAATTGCTTTATTGTAATAACGAAAATTGAAAATTGAAAATGAAAAAGAAAAAAGCCGACAAAAGAGCGAAAAAAACTTTTCAATTCATTTTTTTATCGTTTGAAAATATGAAAATTTTCCTGTCATATTTGATTATTACGATGATGATGAATAATGGTGTTTGATGAACGATTTTCGTACAGAAAAAAACCAGATTCAATTCAATTGATCATTCATATAAATGTCGATTTTTGTGACGTAATCATTATCATTTGATCAATAAAAAAAAATTTTTTATTTCAAAACTTGAATTTCGAATCATAAAAATTCAATTGTCTTAATTAATCTTTTCAGATTCAGATAAATGCCATTCATTACAAATATCTCAATGGTCATCTAATGAAAAAATTTCTGACGTCATCATGCCCTGATAATATGATAATTTCATGATAATGGTCATCGATATTTTTTTTTTTTTTTTTTTTTGAATGTGATGATTAAAGATTGAAATCAAAAAATGTTCTTTTTCTGGAAAAAAAACCTGAATTTATTTAAATTCATAATCGTAGAAATGAATTGAGTGATGATGAATCAATTTCATTGCCATATCCATCATGAAAAATTGTGTGTGCGTGTGTAAGAACACGAATATTTTATCGGAAGAAAAAAAAATAAAACAAAACCAAACAAAAAATCAGGATTATTATTTATTTAAAGGCAATGAAAAAATCTTGATGATCATGATTTCAATTTTTAAAAAAATAATTCAATGATTGAACGATTCCGTTTGGTAGTTGATTTTTTTGTAAATCTGGAAAAAGTTCTTGTGAGACAACAACAAAACAAAAATGTTGCATAAATCATCATTTCATTTTATTGTTTTTATTATCGTCGTCGTTAATATTTGTGAATCGATGGCAAGCAAATCATCGAAATTCTCATCACCATCATCATCATCATCATGTAACAAAACCGAAACTGATCAATGTGCATTGAATCTCATACCATTAACAAATGAATCAATATTACGGAATCCACCAAAAACATTAACGGAAATCAATCATATATGTCAAAATTTCATGTTTCCAATGGAAGGTTGTATGCGTAGATATGCAATGAAATGTATGACAAAATCCGCACGACAACCATTATTAGTAATGCTATATTCGGTGACAAAATTGAATAAAAAAATTTGTTCAATACGAAAACGTAAACAAAATTTTCTAACATTAATTGATTGTGTTTACAACAATTTGGATTTCTACTCTCAGCTGATGTTTAATTTAACACGTCAAATGTATGCAATTTCCCGTGATCATCGTGATAAACTTAAATTTCCAATGATTTGTTGGTAAATATATCGATTGATTGATCGATTTTCATTTGAATTTTAACATCATTTTTTTTTTAATTTTCATCAGCTACGCTCATCGACAAAACGAATGGGTCAAAGTGCAATTATTGAAAGATTGTCCGAACAACACAAGAGCTCACGAAGAATTAAATAATTGGCTTGACAGTTATACTGGTGATTTATTAAATTTATTTTGTGGTGATTATACTGAAGATTCGGACAAATGCGATTCATTACAAATACCAAAATGGTCATCACGTGATAATGAAACATTGCCATGGAAAAGTTTCTTAATGGTTTTGGTGGATTTATTAAATGATTTAAAATGAGCCACACTCATTACGAAAGAAACCTATTGCCAGTGTACTTTTAAAACACTCATTCACCACCACCACCAAATCGATTAAATGTAATTTCTCTGAATGACAGACCAAATGACGAAAAATAAAAAAAAATTCCAAGAATTTTAAGTAAAAATAATTCATCAACGACAATGAATCAAAAAAAAAAAAAAAAATACTTTTCTTTTTATAAATAAATGAATCAACAGTAAACAAGTTTGTTTGTTCAAATTCCAATAATTTTTTCATTTATTCAAAAATAATATGATGATGATTATGATCAAAAGATATTTTATCATCACAACGATCATCATTTTACCTTTTTTTTCATTTCATCGGAAAAAAATTCTGAAAATAAATTCAATTTCTTTAAAAAAAATAAATCAAATTAATTCACCAATCTTTTCATTTATACGATGATTTTTTTTTTAAAAAGTAAATGGAATCTTTCGCGTATGGTAGCGTTGAATGGAAGTGGTAAAGAAAGAATTTTTCATATTTTACCTCGTCATTTTTCTGTCTATAATCAAGATAATTTTTTTCGAAATTTTCAAATAAAAATTTTATCAAATAAATTTACAGCTGTATTAATAATGAAAACAACAACATTAATCTGGCCAAGTTTCGCTATAAATAGCCCGAAATTTTTACCAAATTTTATTTAATTTTTCTTTTTTTTTCTTTCTTTCTTTCGTCATTCATTCGCTAGATTGCAACCAAATTATTTCAACCATGAAGATTCGATCAATATTTCATCATGTTTCACAACTATTAATGGTCATCATTGCCACGACGACGATAATGGTGACCGATGGTTCAATTTCCACGGCAAAACATTGTAAACGTGCTGATCGATGTGCATTGACATTAATACCATTGACGGATGCTAAATTCATGTCCAAACCTCCGAGAACACCGCAAGAATTGAATGAATGGTGCAAACGTGTTGCACCACAAGAACGTTGTCTAAAAGATTTTGCCAATAAATGTCTGGATAAACAATCCAAACAATCATTATCAGTTATGATGTATAGTTTTTCACGAACGAATAAACGTTTGTGTACGAATAAAAACGACGTCAAGCATTTCTGAATCTTATTGAATGTGGCCATAAAGAATTGCCTATGTTTGCAAATATTCTTAAAAATTTAACCACAGATTTTCATGGAATTTGACGTTTAAACAACAAAATTTACGTATACCATTAGCTTGTTGGTAAGTGTGCACGATTAATTTATTGCAAATTTCACAAACTAATCTATTGTGATATGTAGTTCCTATTATAAATGGAAAAATATTGCCGTTACAAAAGTCATACAAATGTGTCCAGATAATGACGCAGCACACGAAGAAGTGGAAAATCTTCTGAATGGTTATACAAATGATTTATTAGCTGTTGTTTGTGGTGATTATACGGAAGAATCGGATAAATGTGATAAAATTATCCAAAAAATACCTGAATGGAAACAACCGTTACGTTGGAATAATTTTATTATACCATTGGTCGAAATATTCGATAGTATCGATGATAATAGTGCTGGTGATGAGGATGCTGGTGTTGTATCATCATCGCAATGAATTTTTTTAAGATAAAATGACATTTCATTTTTGAAATAAATAAAAATATGTTACATTCATACATACAATATAGATAAATAGATAAATAAAATAAACAAAAACCCAAAGAAAAAATCCAAAAATAACAGCAAAGGTTTGATTGATTGGTTGGATACAAATGGTGGCCACGAAAAACAAAATATGTGATATGTTCGTGTTGACCTTTCAGCCGAAGAAGTTTTTGTTTTGTTTTGTTTTCTGGTTCAACGAACCAGAAGTTTGTCGATGCTTGATGGTTATCATCATCAATTATGGTGGCAATGACAATGATATCATCGTCTTTGAATTTTGGCAATGAATTTAAATCAAAATTGAATGCAGTACAATCAACTTTTTGACATAATCTGTACATAATGACAAACAGCAAACATAATGCCAATTAATTCAATTATAGCGAAACCTAATGCAGTCCAGCCAAGCATTAATACATAATCACGCATTTCGGCGCCAAATTTGGACCAACAACCATCATAATAAATATTATTTGGATGTTTCCGATGGCCACAATTTTCCACAAATGTTTTGCAACATGAATCTGGCACTGGTATTGTTTTATTACGATATTGATCGATAATTATTGATTGATTTTCATCATCATCGTTGTTGATAATTCTTAAATATTCATAATCATCATAATAATTCCAACCACAACATTGAAATTCATGATATAGTGATTCAATTTCTTCCGAATGATTGACTAGTAAATCGGCTATATCGACAGAATCACGTACAGAAATAAGAAAATCGTCATTATTATTTCGAGCTGAATTCGTCGATAAAAATACATGATCCGGACTAACGGTTATTATCGCCAATAACCCGATAACCAATTGTACGGTAAATAGAAATAATAAGATGAAAATATAGATACAAAGTACGATGGTTGAATTGGCAAAATGTGACCACGATGAATGTTTTTGTTGATCCTGGAACAATCGACATTGATGATGATGATGATGATTATTATTATTATTATGTAATAATCGATTTGAATATTTTCGATCAATCAATAATAATGATGAATTATTTTGATGACTTGGTGTTGATGATACATATCGATTGTGGTGATGGTCATTCATCATCGATATATCGATATCTGAACAATCATCTAAAATTATTGATTCATTTAAATAAGCTGATTTCGATGGTGTCGCTGTTGTTGATGATAATGAAGTGGATCGAAATGATGATTGTGGTTGTTGTTGTTGTGGTTGTTGTTTTTGTTGTGGACTATTTCGACTCCAATCACTATATCGAAATAATAAGGATTCATTTTCATTTACAATCATCTGTTGTCCGTTAAGATGACCACGACCGCGACGATAATAATAATAATCTGAACTTTTTGACCAACTAGTGGCTGTTGAGAAACAAATATTCATCAATGAAATCACAATGATGACAATTCCGCAGAATAACATTGAATAATGAATAATCTGCACCAGGTGACCATTGCCCAATAGATTGATAATGTTATTTAGATATTTTGTCGTCTCACCCAAATAACGGCTAACTTCTGGCCGCCCATATATGACCGTCAACAATAGGATACAAATTCCACTTAATAGGAAGATAAAATTGAATAAAAACAAAACAAGATTAACAAAACGTGCCGAGAAACAACAACATTCTGGTGCCGGAATATTTTCACTTTGATTTGCCAATAAAGATGATGGTGCAATCGGTAACGTAGGTGATGATTGCTTTGGCTGTCTAGGTTGTTGTTGTTTATGTTTATGTTGTTGAGATATTTGTCGTTTCAATGATGACGAAGACGACGACGGTGGTGTTGATGATGAATGTTGTTTTTGTTGTCGATTAGTTTCCGTCATTTTCATTCAAGAGATCAAATGATTGTAAAAATCAAAATTTAATTGAGATCAAACAGCAACCACGAAAAGAAGAAATAATAATAAAAAAGTTTAATGCGTGGGTGGCTAACTATCCACAGACGATTCACAAGTGGTTTTCATCAACATCCACCACTAGTTTGTTGTATTCGATGAAAATTATCTTTGGAGAAAAGGGTTTCACTTTTCAGAAATTAATCAGCAGATAAACAACCAATTACACCAAGAAATAATCGTTGAAATCATAAGAAATCGGATACGGTTTGTTTTTTTTGTCGATAACAAAAATCAATGGATCATCGATCGATCGCAATAAAAAAAGTAGATCTCGAAAAATATTCATTTATCGTACACACAGTACATATCATTTAGCATCTGGCAAGTGCATAGCACATACACACAAACACATCAATGGCAAAATGTCAAATTGAAAATGCGGCCAAAATTTATGTCGTCGTATGAGAATCGATGATGATGAGGATGTGATGATGCACATATAATATACATCTACAATAGTGATGTTTGAACAGAAAATTGAAAATGAAAAATAGTGTCGCGTGCGCACGTGTAACGGTTGTTGTAGTTCATCAAGCTGAAAGTTTTTTTTTTGTTGTCGACGACTACGACGAAGAATTTTCGAATGACCCGAATTTTTTTCTGATGAATGATGAATAATGATGTTGTTTTCGTTGTTGTTGACAACAAAATGTTCTGTTAAAATTTGTTCATCTCAAACGAGAACAAAAGTCTTGGTTTTTTTAGTCATAGAAATTCATTTCTAAGAAATCGGTGATGATGATGACGATTGCCAAGGACATTGGATGGACAAACATAAATTTTTTTCTGAATGAGAAAAAAATGACCGTTTGTGAAAAGCGACGAGAGAACACGTTGGTGGTCGTCGTTTTGTTTTTATCGTTTGTACGTTTTTATTCGTTGTTCAAAGCCAAGCTTAGCTTAATGAAAAAACAACCACCACGAGGCTATAATTTATCAATTCGTTTTGCTTATTCATTTAATGTGGTTTGATCTTTGTGGTGTTTGGTTTTTCGTTGACCATTGGTGGTCATTCTATAATCACGATAATGATATGATGATCGATGCACACACACACACAGGTCACATAATGGGATTGGTTTTATTTTTGTTTTCTATGGCGAATCGAATTAACCATCCATCGATTTCGAAAAAACTGTAGCAGAACTGTATAGCGAGAGAGATCAGAATCAGACACACACTCATTACCATAAATGGTAGAAAGAAAATTCAACGTTTTTTTCCCTTGAATATTTGGAGGAGTTTTTTTTGTTTGTTTGTTGATTAATGGTTTTTCAAAATGGTAGAAAATAAATCCCTCGGATTATGATGATGATCATTGATGATTAAAAAGTCAAATTACGATACGATGTTGATGCAAGGTTTTTTTTCTGCAAAATGAAATCCATAAAACTTACCCCATTCATATATATGCAAAAAAAAGAAAACCATATGTTTCGTTTGTTTGTTTTGTTTCAATTTCGGTTGTTTATTTTTTTGTTTGTTTGTTTGATTAACCCGTTGTTGGTGGTGGTGGTGGTTACCATCTCACATGTTGATGAATCCCACGGTTTTCGTTTTGTTGTCATATGGATTCATTCATTCATTCATTCATCGATGATGATGGCGTCATTATATATTTGAAATAAGGAAAGAAAAAAAACCGGTGGATTTTTTTTTCTTGCAACCACACTACACACATAAGGATAGAAAAAAAAGAGAAAACACGTACAACACGTGTCCAGGTACATAGGCACACAGATAGTTGAATGAGGAAAAAAATTCAGCCAGACGATTACGCACACGATCAGATTGAATCACACAGAGGTTATTATCGATGAAATTCCAAAAAATTTAATTGCATGGACCTAGCTAGTTAGCTAAAGTTGATCATCATGAAATTTTGTTGCTGTATGGATGATTGAAAATGATCAAATGATTTACTTGAATTGATTGAAGAAAACATTTCGCACACACAGACTGACAGATTTCGAAGCTTTTTTGAAAAGTTTTCAAACTTCTAATCAGTGGTTGCTATTGGCAGTCGTAGTGGTATGGCTTCATTCTTTCTTTCTCTCTTGCAATTTTCAAACGAAAATCTCTCTCACACACACACATTTTTACCTGTCTATCGTTTAATTGAATTTTCCAAGAATATGAAAAAAAGTGGAATGTTTTCGCGAACAACCAAAAGATTATTGTTCAAAGTTCAGCAATCACAGAACTGGACTGACTTATATAAGTGTTAATGTCAATAAAAAAAATGGACAAAGATTGAGAGAAAAAACACACCACCACCATTAACCAAACAAGTGAGAAAGAATTCCATAAACAAAATTGGTCCTGCCATCAGCTAACTAACCAACCATTAGGGCAAAGTTTACACAAGGTGTGTATGTGTGTGTGTGTAGGTTGAATAAAATTCAGATTTTCTGTTTTTACCGGAGAAATAATGCGAAACCCTGCAAACAAAAAAGTCAAAATCTTTGTAAATAAAACCTTCCCACACACACACACACACAATTACACCAAACAAACAAAAATAAATACAGGGATTTCAACCAAGAAAAAAAATTCTCAAAAGAATCATCATTTGATCAGTTTTTTGACGATCAAATCAAAACAAAAATGTGTGGCAAAACAACAAATAAACTTTGGAAAACTTTATCATACACACACACACCCGTTTGGGGAAAGTAAAGTAAACCATTTACCATTTACAAACACACATAGACAGAATAACAATATAAAACATTTCAAAACATCATCGTCATATTCAAATCATTTGTTTGTTGATAGCTACATCGTTGTTGTTGTTATTGCGTTACCCAGAGTGATGGTTTTTCATATTATCATGTCAGTGTCATGTTTTCCTATAAATGGTCATTGAATATTGTGAATGAGACAATCCCTTTTGATTATTTAGCTCTAATTCAATTTAACCCATTTAGAACAAATTAGTTTCAATTTGATTGAATTAGGTTCATTTCATTGTTTAAATTAGAATTTTTATTTGATTTGAATGTCAGCAAAAAAAAAAAAAATGTCAATCCTGATTGACTGGCTGTCTTGTGTTATGAAAACATGACTCGTCGTTTTGGTTTTTTTGAATTTTTCGTCTGTTGTTGATCATTCATGTTCATTTGTTGTTGCTGATGTTGTTCTTCATTGCTGTTGTTGTTGTTGTTGTCGTTGTTCAAACCATCATTTTTATTATTTTGGCCATTTATTTTAATTGTTATCGATGCTGACAATCTTGATTGATGATTATTACCATTATTTTCGATTATCGATCGATCTTGATCATCATCAATTGAATGGCTTGCTGTTGTCTTATCAACAACGCGTTGTTGCTGTTGTTCTTTATTTTCAATCATTTGTGATCGTCGCATACATGCATCCATTGCTAGTAGTAAATTATGACCATATTTGGGTAATGAAATTGATTGTTGTGTGAATAAATTCAAAACAAATCGAAAAACGGGAAATGAAATCATAAATCAAAATTGTACAATCAATACAATCGATACTTACAATCACAATTTGAATTCAAAAGAAAATTTCTTATTCGTTCATCACGATCTTCAAATACATAGAATGCTTTCTTCTGTATATTGACCATTGTTCGAACAATTTGCTGTTTAATCATTTCACGATCCGATTGTCGAAGTTTATAAAAATCAGTCCATGTCCAGAATTGTTTACATGATGGTATCGATGATGTTGATGATTGTGAATGGCCATTATTATTAGCCAGTTGTCCTACGCTAATTTTTCGATTTGATTTCGATGTACGACGACGTCGTACAACATTCGTCAATTCATTTTTTGATCCTTTCAATAATCTTGTTTGATGTACATCATCATCCACATCCAGAACATCTTCATCGTTATCTTGTTGTCGATTATCATCATCATCACCCAGTGGGCCATCGGCCTTTCCTAAGAAAAAAAGCAGATTATTGGATAATACGAAATAAATGAATTATTCACTTACCATGACCACGGCGATTAAATATTCGATGCCAAAACGCCAAAGGCTTTTTTCTATCTATTGATTCTTTTCGTTGTGGTCGTTCCTGTTTATCATCATCTCGATAATCCAAATGTTGTTGAGCACCACCACAATCTTTTAAAATATCACCAACTTCTTGATTGATCCAATTAATTAAATCATGATCATCCACGCGCGCATGATTTTTCCATGATTGATGAAAACGATATTGTTGTATCTGTACTATCATTAGGCCACAACGTTCTTTAATCATTGCAATCGTATCATCAAATATGGGCAGGAAACGTCCAGCTGTTTCATATGCAAGCCATTGATTACCGGCTTCTAAATCTTCAGAAATTTCGATAAAATTACAATAATCTTCTGGATGAACGAATGTTATTTTACGCCATGTATCTTTCAATCTTACAACAGGTGGACATTGAAGACTTTTTGTAATTAAATTTACTGAATGCCAATTATTCAATATTTGTAGATGACCAATGACCCGTATAAAGAATAGAATTGACCGTACACGTTGTTCTAATTGTTCATGCTGGAGGATATAAGTGGCAATCAAACGTACGATACGATTCTGGAAATGTAATAAACCTTTGATTTGTGAACATGTTTTCTGCACCAGGAAGAAAAGCAAAGATAAGTTCATTGAAATTATTAAAAAAAAATTGAAAAACTTACCATTGCATTTGTTACATTTAGAAAAAAGTGAATAATTTCCGATGATTTAATTGAATTGAAATATTTTCTCACAATAATCGTCAATTCATTTGCAAACAAAATAATTTGTTCTTCGGATTCTGGATCAAATTCAATGAAATTATCGTTGGTGCTGTTTTCTGAATTTTCATCATCCGTATCAGTTGTTGTGGTAATGGTTAAATCGGAAAATATTGATAATTGAGTCGCTAAAGAATTCATTCGATTTGATTGTCTTCGATGACGGAATTCTGGATTTATCAAGGCAACTTTATCTTGATAACATTCATGTTGTTGTTGCCGTTCAACTTCTGTGGACCACAATTGACCACCTCCATAACTTTGTCTACGAAATGTCATTGCGGTTGGATCACCACCAGAAAATGTTGGTGGTACCAATGATTGACGACGACGATTACTTACAGCTTGTATGTAACGCATTTCTGAATCTGTCATCATTCCATTCACATTGAAACTTAATTTCAATTCTGGATAAAGCATATTACTTAAATCATCAATAGAAACATTATCAAGTATGTTCTGGCGAAAATTTGAGTCCAATAATTCTTCACCACAACAACCACCGTGACGTACATCCAACGTTAATTCCGATGACCATTCACGAAGCTTGTTATTTTTATCTTGATTATTTGCAAGTAAACAATCCATCTCTGGATTTGGCATAAGAAATACAGGACGTGGCTGTAGTATTGAACCACGACGACGATTTTTTTGACGATTATAAATTCTTCGTCCAGAACCGCTAGTGGTTGTTGGATGTGAAAATTGATACAATGCTTCATCTGAACATTCAATTAACTGTTGCCAGGTTTTAAATCTTTGTTTTGATTGGATTTTTGGTAAATTCAATCCAATCATACAACCATCATTAACACCTTCACCGAATCGATTAATTTTTGGTAATTCTGTTGCATCGTAATCACCGTCATCATCGTCATCGTTACGGAATCCATATGGAATACGCCATAATTTATCATTAATTTTTGATTCCGGTATGCGGAAATATTTATTTACATCAATATTATTTGCGGGATTCAATGTTGCCAACAATTCACGTTCATTATCATCAATTTGAATTTTATTTTTCATAATCGGTTCTTCGGTTGATAGATATTTTACAAGTTTTAATTTCTGTTTCTTAATAGCGATTTCATCGTTGGATTTATTTTTCTTCGTCTTATTTTCGATTATGCCATTCTGTTCTTCTGATGGAATTGTCTTTTTATTTTTATTTTTCTTTAAACTTGAAAATCGAAATTTTTTGACCCAACCACTTTTTTGATTATCTTGACTATGACGGCGATTGTTTTCGTTATCTATTTGGTCATCACTCACTACATTATCATTATCATCATCATCATCAACTTCAAGATTAAAATGGATATGACCGTTATGTTTTTTCTTCATTTTATCATTATCATCGTTGTTGTGATTAAAAATGGACATTTTTTTTGCACCGGAAAATATACAAGTGAAACAAAAAGCGAAAAAAAGAAATTGAATATAAAACACTGATGTTGGTAAACAAATCACCAGTGCAATTAAAGCAAAAAAGTTTATTCTCAAGGAAAAAGAAATTCAATACCTATGCAATCAATCAGTGCGTTAGTGTGTGTGTGTGTGTGTGTATGTGTGTGTGCACGACAATTACAAAATGAAATGAAACAGAGAAAAAGAAAATGTATGAAATTTGATGACAAATTCCAAATTTCTTTTTTATTATTATTGTCATCATTTATGACACCAACAACAATACATTGGTCGATGTTTTTTTTTCTTTGAAAAAAGTAATAAAAAAATAAAAAATAAAACGTCAAGTGTTTCGGAATCACAAGCGGATTAGCACATAGAGTGATGATAAAAATAGAATCGACTTTTTTCTGGTTGCTTGTGGATCAATAATCGTTTCCTTGTGAGAAATTTTTTGTTGAATTCAAAATTATAACAAGATTAATGATGGATAAAGAAAAATTTCAAGAAAAATAAAACGACAGTTGACATTTGACAAAACAAAAACATCTGAAAAAACAAACACATTTACCACCAGCACGTAATTGATTTGTCAAAAAAAAAAAAAAAATTCACTCAATTATTAAAGTTCATTGTTGTTGTTGTCGTTGTGGATTAATGATGATGATGATTGAATTTGTAATAATTTTCCACACAAGACGAATCATTAGTCAATGATGTGTTAGTGTGTGTATCAAATTTTATTTATCCATCCATTGTCACATACACCGAAAGCCACAAACCACCAATATTGCCATTACAACAAAACGTGTTATAGATATCTATCTATATTTACCACGTTTATATTTTTTTTGTGATGATGTATCTCATCAGGCTTTAAATAACGGAAACAAAGAACTTTGCGCCTTTTGCTTTACATTACTTTTTCCAATGTATATGATAATGATAATAAAAAACGATAGAAAACTCAGTTTTTTTTCTCTTTTGCTTTATATTCATTTATTTTGTACAATTAGAATTTGAAAAATTAATCGAGGATGAATGTTTGGCTGTTGCTACACATAAATTCGTGTTTGCTGTTAAGATTGTTGGGATTTCTTGAGAATTTTTTTTCCAAACATTTTAGAGCATTTTATATCAATCAATCAATCAAAATAGAATCACAATTGTTTTTTCTTTCTAAAAAAAAAAAAAATTTAAAGTTGACTTTTGTTTTGGAAAAATAAAAATAAAAATTCCATCAAATGAGACCAGTTTTTCAGATCTTCTAATCGCTGTTGTTGTTGTTGTTGTTGTTTATCGTTCCAAGAATTTAAAGAATTTTTTTAGATTATCAAATAAATCGCTAACAGACGATGATGATGATGATGATGATGACGAAGACGACGATGGTAGCTGATTATTATTATTATTATCGATACCTAAAATTTTCAATAATGATTTATGATAAATAAGAAGAAAAGTGCAAAGAGTTTTGATTTGAATATAAATTGTGTGTGAAAGTGTGTGAGAGAGAGAAACAAATAAGTAACAATTATATAGATTTAAGGAATTGATAATAAGAATAAGAATAATAATAAAGATAAGAAGAGGAAGAAATAAATAGAATATTTTGTTTGTTTGTTTTCAAGAATCAAGAATCATCAAAAAAAATCGCAAAACCATCACCACCTGCACATCATTCATTCATTCACTCATCATTCACCAATCATAAATCAAAACAAAACAAAATCAGCTGTATTATTTTTTTTTTTTTTTTTTTACAAACCAGCAAATGAATCGGCAAATAATTTTTCAATCTCTTTTTTGTGTATATGTTTATTGCCTGTGGCTGGTGATGCCGATACTGCGCGGCCAGCATAACTAAAATTAATCAATGAAAATGAAAGAGAAAAATTAATGTTTTTTTGCAAAAATGAAAAATTTTTTCTTACTTAAACTTTTTCGATTCCATATTCAAATGTCTCAATGTTGTCTGTATTAGTGGTTGAACGTAGCTCCAATATCCTTGATTTTTATGTTCTTCTTGTGTCCAGATAAGATCAGCATCTGGATATTTTGATAACTCATCACGTAATAAATCAAAAGGAAATGGACATAATTGTTCCACACGAACAATTGCAACTTTATCGTCAAGACTACGTTGTTGTCGTTCTTTGAGTAATTCATAATAAACTTTACCAGTGCATAAAATGATACGTTTTACACTGGATGGATTCGTACGAATAGGTTCCGTTTCATCGGGTAATAAACGACGAAATTCCGTCTCGGGTAATAATTCATCAAAACTAGATTTACATTGTGGATGTCTTAGCAGCGATTTTGGTGTGAATACAACCAACTATTCAAGAAAAAAAAGAATTCAAAATTATGAAAATGAGTCCAACAAAAAAAATCTGAAAATTACTTACTGGTTTACGGAACGGTAATGCAATCTGTCTACGTAGTATATGGAACATATTGGCTGGTGTACTACAATTAGCAACAATCATGTTGATATCATGTAATTGTTTCAATGAGAAATATTCATCGATAACCTGGAACGGAATGGAAATTAAAAATCCAAATTCCAAAAAATTCATCATCAAACTTACCGGAAATTCATCTGAATCAACAGCACATAATTGTAGAAATCTTTCTGGACGAGCCGATGAATGTTCTGGGCCCATACCTTCCATACCATGTGGTAAAAGTAAAATAAGACCACTTTGCCGCACCCATTTAGCTTGACCGCTACAAATAAATTGATCAATAATACATTGGGCCGTGTTGTTGAAATCACCAAATTGTGCTTCCCACATTACCAATGCATTTGGATTGGTCATTGAGAAACCAAGTTCAAATCCGAGAACACCATATTCAGATAATGAACTATTACATACAGTATATGGTGCTTGGTCGGCATACAAATGACATAATGGACGATACGTAGATTTATCCATTGTTTGATGATGAAGAACATGATGTCGATGACTAAATGTACCACGTTCAACATCTTGACCACTTAAACGAACATGAATACCTTCTTTCAACAGAGAACCAAATGCTAATGCTTCAGCCAATGCCCAATCCAATTGACGATTTTCAACCATTTCCATACGTGCTTTCAAGATACGTTTTAGACCAGGATGAATTTTAAATGGATCTGGTGGTGGTGTCGAAAATTTCGTACCAATATGACGTAAGGTTTCTTCATCAACACCGGTTGGATCACATTTATGTTCAGAACGAGTACCGAAAAATCCATGCCACGGTGAATCAAGCCAATCCCGGTTATACATTTTAACTTCTTTCTCCGTATTTTTATAAGCTTCGGTCAAGATATTATCATATTTTTCCCATAATTGTTTCACATATTCTTCGGTGACAACATTTTCCGAAATCAATTTCTTGGCATATTTATGTACCGCCGGTGTTGTATTACGAATTTTCGTATACATTAATGGCTGTGTAAACTTTGGTTCATCAATTTCATTGTGGCCATTACGACGATAACAAACTAGATCAATGACGACATCTTTTCCGAATTTTGCACGCCATTCTGCTGCTACTTTACTAACATGTACTACGGCTTCAGGATCATCAGCATTAACGTGGAAAATTGGTGCATTCACTACACGTGCAACATCCGTACAATATGGTGATGACCGTGCTTCACGTGGATCAGTAGTGAAACCAATTTGATTATTAACAACAATATGTACCGTGCCATGTGTTGAATAATCGGGTAATTCCGACAAATGAAATGTCTCGTACACTACACCTTGACCAGCAAATGCAGCATCACCATGTAATAATATGCTCATAACTTTTTTGCCTTGTGAATCACCCAAATAAAATTGTTCAGCACGTGTTTTTCCTTGAACCACTGGATCGACAGCTTCCAAATGTGATGGATTAGCCACTAGTGCTAGTTTTATATTACGATTACTTTTACGATTCAAACGTTCATGTGACATTCCAAGATGGTATTTAACATCACCAGAACCCTATAAAATTTCGAAAATTATTTTCTACACTAGATCAAAACTTATAGATACAAGCATCATAAATACCTCATCAGCTGGTTCCAGACTATTGAATTGAGCGAAAATCTGTTCTAATGGTTTACGGCAAACATTTGCCAACACATTTAATCGGCCACGATGAGGCATACCCATCACGATGCTATCGATACCGAGAACAGATGAATTATCAATAACTTCTTTCATTGATGGTATCAATACTTCACAACCTTCTAGACCGAAACGTTTTTCTGATGACCATTTTTTGGCTAAAAATTCTTCAAATTTATGTGAACGTGTCAAACGTGCTAGTAAGGTTTTTTTCTTTTCTTCATTCAAATCCATAATACCAGGTGTTTCAAATTTTTGCCTAATCCATTGACATTGTTCCAGATTATTAATAAACATATACTCGACACCAATATGACGACAATAAACATTTTCTAATCGACGTAATATTTCACGTAATGGTAACACACTTTCATCACCACCAATAAATGTTGTATTCGGCAGTTTGAATAAACGATCCATATCTTTTTCCTCTGTAGACAAAAAAAATTAATTAAAATCAATTAACCAAATCAAATAATCAGGTTATTTTCAGTGAAAAAAATTGAATACCAAATTGATGAACACGAAGCCAAGCACCATCACGATCAAAATTAGTAACATTAATTTCAAGCGGATCAAGTTTAGCAAAATAATGGCCACGAATCTTAATCATTATTTTGTTTTGATTAATTATCCAAATGCAAATAGTGAAAAAAATGGAAAGGTAAAATCAAGAAAGAAAGATTGTGTTAAGTTTTTATTCGTTAGTTAGAAAAAGAAAGATCAAGTAATTTGTGAGGTGATGGGGTTAAAAGTAAAAGTTTATCTTGTTGATTGAATTAGGAACAAAAAAAAACAAGTCGATTCGGGCCTTTTTTGTATTCATTATAAAAATTTTTCACAATCATCAATTTCGGTTTGTGTTGCTGAAGAATTACATTACCTAACTTATATTTTCTAAGTACAACATCTTGTGATAATGGTAAATCATTACCAATTGAACTATGTTTCATTGCAGCATGTTGTTGTATTTCCAATGGATCCAATTGTGCTGTATAATGGCCACGAACCTAATTTTTTTATCCATTTCATTTCAAATTTTTGAATATCCATTTGGGGGAATTCACAGGGGCATTGTATTTGTGTGTGTGGGTGTTTTGAAAATTTCAATGAAAAAAAATGATAATAAAGGATTAATAAAACAGACAAAAAAAAGAAAGAGAAAAATAAATATTTGCCATAATTGATAAGATAAAAAAAACTGAAAAGAACAACAAAGTTTCTTTCTGTTCTGTACCCTATATTTGATGAACTAAATGATGATTATCAGAAAAAAAACCGATGATTAATGACGTAAAATGATTGACTGACTGACTGACTAAAATTGTTTGATTGTATGTACGTTTTGTACATTTTATTGCTGTTGCTGTTTTTTGTTGTTACAATAACTTTCTGGCTACTTTGATGTGTATAATTATCGGGTTTTTTGCCATTTATGATGAATGAAAAAAATTTTTGTCAACCAGCCAAATTAGATAGATCTGACGGAGCAAAAATTTGGCCGGATGAAGAAATACAATGACGATTCAGAAAATTAATTTAGAAAATGATAAAGTCATCATATGACTATGCAGTGTGTGTATGTGTAAATGAAAAAATATTAAGTTTTTTTTCTGGATCAAATTTACATGCATTACAGGTTCCAAACATACCTGATAGGATCGAATAATAGCCTGTACGGATAAATGGTCTTCAATATCACGTAATGAATCCGATGATGTTACTGCTGAACGTATTTCTGCTTGTGTTGTTGGTGTACGTCCACTGGCTGTTGGATACATTGTTGTTCGAGGCATTGCGGGCGATAGATATGCCTGTCCCGGTTCAGCTGTTTCAGATACACGAAAAAATACATCCCAACTTTTATGGACAGAATTTGGATCTTTCATCCATGCTTTATACATTTCTTCCACATAAATTGATGATGATCCATTTAGGAATGGTTCCTGTACAACACGTGTTGCAACAGCTGCTTGTGTTGCAGCAGCAGCCGATTGGGATTTCGGTATTGTAGATGATGTTGGATGTGATTGATTCACAAGAATACCAAAACGGCCATTAATCAATAGACCATTAAGTCCACCATATAAACGATGATGGCCGGATTTTAATGCAAGAGCAGCACGATACATTTTCTTCTTTTTTTTCGAATTCAGTAAATCAAAATATTCGAAAGTGATGGAAATCAAACAAAAAAATGACCAACAAAAACTTGGATAAAAACCAAAATACAGGATGTTTATATAAATAAATAAATCGAAGGAAGCAAAATGTTATCTCATCGGATCTTGTTGTCTTGTTTTGTTTTTTTTATGAGAGAAAAATAATCAAAAATAAAACCATCAAAAAGTTTGGATGGATGAATGAACGATCAATAAAATTGCAACAATAATCGATTTGATGATGACGGCAAATGGCCAAAAAAAAAAAATCAAAAAAACAGAAAACGGTTCAATTTTTCTCTTTGCTCACTCTATAGTGCCAAACTTGTATATTTTTTTCTCTTTCTTTTCTATTAGATTGATGATTGAAACGACGAAAATAAAAAATGAGAAAAATCAAAAATCTGTCGAATGTTGTACAATATAATTTATAAACTCACCTTGTCTATGTCTTGTGGTGTTTGTTGTAGCACACATCAAAAATTGTACACAAAGTAGATGTAAAATTAATGATGATGATGATCTTGTTCAATGAATGAATTTCAGATGAGAATGAAAATTTTTTTCAAAGAATCGTCATCGTCATCATTGAAATAATGAAAATTATCGCTATACACGAATTACACACACACACGATAGAATTACGGTGACATAGAAAACAAATCGAACATTGAAATTCTACCACCAACCAACCAACATTGAATCATGAAAAACAATAACAAACCGAACGAATGAAACGAAACCGGGCAAACTTGAAAGCAGCTGTAAAATATCGTTATTTTTTTCTTTTCAATATTTTAAGAATGATTTTCTTTTCGTTCTCTTTTTTTGGCTGTTTTACTGCTGATTTAAACTGAGTCGATGCAAAATACAACAATATATATAAATGTTGATTTGGCGTTTAGAGATCAAAAAGGACGCCTGGATATACTGAAAACTGATGATGATGGTGGTTTGTGGTTGGTTGGTGGTGGTATTGGTGGCAGCAACGAAAAAAGCTTCAACACGAGTTTATGGAATTTAGTTTTTGTAGAAAAAAAGCCAATATTAATAGAATTTATTATTTTTTCAAATTATCAATTCACCGTAGACAATTACCGCGCGTGTTATAACCGATTGATGATCGATGAGCACGCGTAAAAACGTGTTTAATATATTCTCATTCGATCGGCTATTTTAATTCATTTTGTTTCTTCTTGTTTCAATAAATTTTTTTTTTGTACAATTTTTCGTTGTGATTTTTTTTGGAAATTCCTTCGTATTTGCCATAAATTCATCTCTTCCAACAAATTAAGATAATTGAAAATGAGATAAAAATTAATTTTTTAGTCGAAAAAAGATTTTGAAAATGAAAAAATTTTCAATGAAAAAAAAATTATAGTCATTCAAGTGGAAATAGTCCCACGCAACACACGCACACTCACATTCGATTCGATTCGAGCCACACGTTTATCCGGCTTTGTGTCGATCTCTGTTTGTGTGTGTGTGTTTGTGAAGTGAGCACAAAGCTGATTTTTTCCAAATATTTATCGAATTTCTTTTTGTTCAAGAAAAATAATCAAACAACAACAACAAAAATGTCAAATACATCGGTTCGTGTACATCCATTGGTCGTATATAATATTATCGATATTTATGAACGAAGAAATTTGGATGCCAATCGTGTAATTGGTACTTTGCTTGGTTCTGTGGATAAATTGGGCAATGTTGAAATATCAAATTCATTCGTTGTTAAACATCGTGAAGCCAATAATGAAGTTGCTGTTGATTTGGAAGTAGCTAAAGAGCTATATGAATTGCATAAAAAAGTTTTTCCAAGTGAAACTATTGTTGGATGGTTTGCAACCGGTGGTGGTGAAGTCAATGAATATTCCGTTGTCATACATGATTATTATTCACGTGAATGTCAAAATCCTATCCATTTGACTGTGGATCCATCAGCCGATGGTATTTCAGTTAAAGCTTATGTATCAACAATATTTGGTATTCCAGGCAAAAATGTTGGTACAATGTTCACACCGATTGATGATATCAGTATATCGTATTGTTATGAACCAGAATTGATTGGTGTTCGTGCTTGTATGTATGCCGCTGGATTACCATCAGTATCGACGGATTCGAAAGAAATTTTCCTTGCAAATGAATTGGATCAAATCATACAAATGTGTAACAAATGTCAGGATGATATTGCACGTATTGTTAAATTTATCGAAGAGAAAATTCTTTCCGGTACATCAAAAGTATCGATTCCATCGAATACCAATGATATTGGACGGCAATTGATGGCTATGATTGAAAACATTATACCATTTGGTGGTGATGATGACGAGGCATTTAATTCAAATTTGAAAGATTTCCTCATGGTTGTTTACCTGTCGAACTTATCGAAAACACAACTTGGTTTGAATGAAAAAATAAGCCATTTACTTGCAACTGAACGGCCAGCCATTACCGCTGCTGGTCATTCGGTTCCATCGACTTCATCGTAATCTGAATTTGAAATTTTTTTTGAGCTCTGAAACCAACGAATATAGCAGAAGAATCAAGATCAGATTTTTTTTCCTATTCTAATTATTTTTTTTCATATGATTATTTGTATTATAATTTTTGGGAATTTTTTTTCAAAACAAATTTTCAAAAAAAAAATTCTGATTGATTTTTGAATAAAATAAAAAAACTTTTTCCCTAAAGTCTTGATCATCATATTTTTAAAGAAAAAAATTGAGTTTTCATTTGTTTTTTATAATCAAGATTTTAGGGTAACCTGTAAAATATGGAACATTCTATATGAACGATCCATTGGAATTCAGCCCACAATTTTTTTCATTGTTTTATTTTTTTTTCATTTCATTTTCATTCCTCATTTTCCGTTCATAATTTTCTAAAAGACGACGTCGACGAAAGAAAATAATGGATAGTAAAGAAGATATTAAATCGACAGTCGCTGATAGTAATTCTCAAACTGCAGCGATGGCTGATAAAAATCTAAATGATAGCTTTAAATCGGTAAATACAAAATTTACACAAAAAAAATGAAATTCAATTAAATTTTAAAATTTTCTCCATACAAGGTACAAGTGTTGCTACAAACAATGCAAGATAAATTCCAAGCAATGAGCGATGAAATCGTTCATCGTATAGATGAAATGGGGCATCGTATTAATGATCTTGAACAGAATATTAGTGATCTGATGCAACAAGCCGATATGAATGAAAATTCAAATGAAATGTCATCAACATCGGATTCACAACAACAACAACAACAGCAACAGTCAAAATCACAAACAATGGATGTTGGTAAACAGGACCAACAAATTGATGAGTGAAATAAACATTACATCAATAATAATCATCGTCATCATAGAATTTATTTGGAACATAAATTCCAGAATAAAATCAAAACATTCACATTTGATTAATTAATTTTCAATAAATCATTGACTTTTTTTTTGCTTCATGTTTCACAAAAATCATTTGTTTGCTTTCTGTTTAAGTGTTGCCAATTCAACCAGACGTTCATCGCGCCATTTACGGCGTTGATCCAATCGATCAATTGGAATTGCCTGGGCCATTTCTTTGACAATCAAATCGGCTGTTGGACCTCCCATTTGTGGTACTGGACCAAACGTCATGCTAACATCATGGATACCTTTCGAATATTTATCGAAATATTCACGCATACCATTAGCATTCAAATGAGCGGTTTCCCATGGTCCCATGAATGCATAACGCATACCCAAACCGTGTGCCATTACTTTATCCACATCTTGGACGCTAATAACATCCGATTCAATCAGACGATAACATTCATTCAAAATTGCATACTGGATGCGATTAACAATGAAACCTTCGATTTCTTTTTTCAAAGTAACGGGTTTTTGGCCAACTTTTTCCAATAATGCACGTGTTCGATCAATAACCGCAGGATTGGTCCATTTTGATGGAACTATTTCCACCAACGGTACAAAATAAGGTGGATTCACTGGATGTCCGACAATCATTTGACCATTATGTTTCAATCCTTCGAACAGTTTGGATGGCAAAAAACAACTTGTAGAACTACAAAGCACAACATTATCCGAGCAAATTTGATCAATTTCATGAAAAACTTTTCGTTTCAATTGCAAATCTTCGAAAACACATTCCTGGACGTGGACAGCACCATCCAAACATTCAGCAATTGTGCGTGCTTTATGAACATGGGACAATTGTTCCGATGCTGAAAGATTTCCTCGAAGACATTTATCTTGTTCCAATTTTCGTATTTTTTCATTGATCCCTTTTATTGCTTCATTAACTTGTTCTTCTTTAATATCATAAAGATGAACATCAAAACCATGGGCAATGAATATCATTGTCCAGCTACGACCAATAAGGCCACTATAACCGTCAAACAAACAAAACGAAAAGAAATTGAATCAATTTTAAGAAGAAAAAGAAAAAAAAATCTTACCTTCCGACGATACCAATTTTGGGCGACATAATCGTTTGTGTTTCAAATTTTGGTTTGGTTTATTTTCTTCAAATCAAATCCGATTCGAGTGATTTTGTTTGTTGAATACAATTCGATCGAATGTTCACAGTATTTATGTGCGTGTGTGTTTTGTCCACAAACGTGAGATTTGAATGTTAATGAAAAAAAAACTAACGAAAAAAATCATTGTGACAAACATCATCATCAAACGGTGATAATCATGATGATGACGACAGAAAAAAAACTAGATTAGATTGTCAACAACAAACAAAAAAAAATTAAGCATCAGAGTAAATTTTGTTTTTGTTCTGGTTCAAAATCCAAATCAATAAAAAAAACGATCAATCAATTGGTTTCATTATTAATGATGATGATGATGATGTTGTCAACTGTCCAATGTTTTTTTTTGCTGTTGTTTTTGTTGTTATTTGTGTCTGTTTTGTTCATTGTATCATGTCATGATGATGATATTTTTGAATTATGCCAATGAAAAAAAGAGAGAATCGAATCTAAAATTAAACAACATGACAAACAAACAAACAAACAATTTTTTTCTGTGTTTTTCAATCAAAGACTATTTTTGCCACAAACCATAACCATAACAACAACAAATTGCTTATCATCTGTGAAAAATAAGATTTGGATTTTTTTGTCCTCTTCATTGATGATAATTCAGTTTTTTTTTGTCAACGGTTGATGAACTTTTTTTTTCTCAAGAAAATGTAAAAAATTTTTGATTGAATTTAATCAATTTAATTTTAATAATCGTCATCATCATCATCATCATCATTTTATCCAATAATTGAATCAGGATCAACAAATGAATCAAGTAAATCAATTAAAACAAACATTGGTGTTTTGAATCGTAATGCCTTTTGTCGTCGTGTAATTGGATCCAATGAATTTTTTCCATTCAATTTTAATGTTGTTGAATTAAATTTAGAATTTTGTTTAAATTTCAATGGTTTTTTCGTATCACATGCATCCGTTACATGAGTGTATTCACCACAAACTGTTTGTATATCACTGGAAATATTCGTTATGAAATCCAAAATGGTTTCACGATTTTTACGGCTACATTCATATTTTTCAATCAGATCATCGAAACAAAGATAAGCATCAGCTGTTAAGCTACGAAATGATGATGGTGGTAAGTAAATTGTAAGAAAAAAATTTGAAAATTTTTTTAAAACTCACCAACAACCATGAATAATTTTATCTTTATCCACTTCTAGATCCGGTATCCGTGAGAAATCTTTCAGCCAATTATCCAAACAAATAGTTTCGGTTCGTAAATGACGATTAATACATGGTGCAATTTTCAACAATGATGATAATCGTTTCGAACGTTTTGTACAATAATTACGCATCTGACGATTAACGGTGTAGAAAATAATCTTGGCATATTGAACCACCTCTTTTGTGAAACATCGTGTCATAAATGATTCAATTGTTTTCGAAACATTACGTATTTCACGACAAAATGGACGTAGTTCAGCATAATTTGTTGGAAAATATGGTGCATTTGGCCCTGGAGCATAGAATTTTGCTGCAATTTGATCCACACGTCGTTGATCAGCCTCTGAACAACCTGGTTTTTTCGTTAAAAGATAACGTGATGTTTCTACTGTTGTTATTGTTCCATAACATATGATTATTATCATAACCCCAATAATCGATTGAATCAATGAATTAGTCCTTGGTAATCGTTGTATCATCATCATCATCATCATCATCATAGTCATTGAGAAAAAAGGAAACGATAATGTCAGATTAATGTTGAATATGCCGACAAATGATTGAATGATTTTTATGGAATGACAAATGAGAATGATGAAAACAACGAAACTAAACGAAACACGATACAACCAACGACTACTGATAGATATTGATCATCGTGATGATGACGATGATGGCCATGATCAAAGGATCAAACAACAAAAACAACAATGACGACGACAACGCCGATGATGTTGTGGATGATGGAGATGATGACATTGTGTTCAAACAACACCATCCGCTTTGGTACATTCTCAGAGAACTAATATCTTTTAATTTATTGCAAATAATTTTTTTTATTCGCTTCTAAAATCTGTGAAAAATAATTCAAAATTTTCTTTTCTATTGCAATAATCATCATCGATGGCTATAAATAATATATATGGATAATGACCATGATGACCACCATTACCAGCAAAAAAAACTGAAGAAGAAAATAACAACAAAGATTCTTCAATTCAGAATTTTTTAAAAATGATGATTATTGATTTTTTTTTTTTTTTTGAAAAACAGGTTTTTTCAAAGTATATGTGTGTGTGTTTTTTTTCAATAAAAAATTTTCCTGTGTTTTTAAACCCTTGATTGATTAAAATTCGAGATTGATAAATCAATTCATCTGATTATGACAATTTCATTCATTCAGCGAGAAAAACCGTCCTGTATATCTTGATAATAATAATAAGTGGTGGCTAATTAAAAATTAATCAATTCAAATTTTATTCAAATTTTTTCTTCTCATCAACAAGATTTATCCAGTGACGATGAACATGTGTGTTTTATATTTATGGATCAATAAAACAGTGACGAATCCAATTATTTCAAAGTTTTTGAATACATTACCAAAATTGAATTAGAATCATTATCAATGATTTATTGTCGTTTTTAAATTATAAAATGGAATCTTTTCATTTCATTTTTTCTAAATTTTTGACAAAAAAATAACAAAATTCCCCAGAAACAACAATAAATTTGAAATTGATAAAAAGTTTCTTTTTATTTTATTTAATTCAATTTAAAATTTATTTAATTTATTATTAAGTAGATAATTAAAGATTACGTAAGTAGACAATTGTATTTAATGGTGTAGTAATGCAATGAACATATTGAGAATTATTATAAATTTGAAAAAGAGAGATACATTCCTAAAAAGAAGGAAAAAAGGATGAAAATCATTTTGTTTTTCAACAAAAACAAATCAATTATGGTGGGATAAAATTTCGGTTATCACCCTCTTCCAATTACCCGATTATAAAATTCAATTGTTATTATCGATTATTCATTAGTGGATGCTATCAGTGGTTGATGATGATTTAGATGATGAATTAAATGACCTGATGATGATGTTCGATGATGATGATGATCAATAAATAAATCTTCATATTTTCCTTCTTCTTCTTCTTCAATTTGATTAACTTGATGACAATGAGATGTAAGAAGAATAAATTTCTTTTTCTCTTCTTCTTCCTCTTGGATTCTATTTTCATTAACAACATTTGTAGATGGTAATTTAATATTTTCTAAATTTGAAATATTATTTTGTACACGTCGTCGTTTAGTGGTCAGTTTATCTTCTTGTTCATTAACATCATCAATTTCGATACTGAGATCTATTGAAACTAAATTATCACTGCAATGATTATGATCATTATTTATGGAAGAATCGAACAACAAATTATTCTTCATATTATCTGACGATGGTGAAGATATGGAAGATGTTTTTCTTTTAAATGAATTTGCTGTTGTTGTTTTCGATTCAACATTATTATTATCATTAAATTGATTAGACGAGCAACTATTTTGACCATTACGATTAATCGATGTAGATAAATTTTCAATTGAATTGATTAAATTAATTTTAGACACAACCATCATATCATTCAATAATGGTGACGCAGGTGATGACGATGATGTAATGATATTTGATGATATTGGTGATGAGATCATGTGTTTCGATATGTTATTATTAGCCATTACTTCATTGTTTGCTGTTGTTGTTTGGCTTTGTACTATCAATTTATTGTTCAATGAATGATGTCGATGAAAATCATTAATTTGAAATGAATAATTAAAATTGATACGAAAATAAACATTTGTTGCCAATCTTTGTGGTGAATTCATTAATTGTTGTAGATGATTCTTTGATTGTGCGTTTATAATTGGATTCATTGTTAATGACACGATTGGATTATTTTTATCATCATTATCAGTATCAGATGTAATTGTAGTTACTTGTATTGAAGACATTTGTTCCAAATCAATAAGCTCAGAATAATGATGATTTTTGGACGGTAAATTATCATTATTGGTGTTTGTTGTGGTGTTGAACATTGTTAATCGATTCAATAATTGATCAACAATTGATTCAATTTCTTCTTCATCTTCTGGTTTTATTCCTATAAAATAAGCAATTTAAAAAAATTCAAATAACAAAAATCAATCATCACTTACCAAGATATTTTTCATCCGTTTGTTGACTATCAAAACAATCAAATGAATGAATTGTATCACCAATCATTGATGATTGTAATGATGATGGTGATAATGGTGATATTGTCGTCGTTGTCATTGTTGATTCTGATGATGATGATGATCCAAATGAATCATCGGAATTTAAATCAAATTCATATTGATCAAAGATTTGTTTATTATGATGATTACCCTGTTGTTGTTGATTAGTAATATTATTATTATCAAACATAACAACCAATACTGTTGTATTATCTGTACGTGCTGTCATCCAACGATCAATACATGCAGCAAATAATTCTAATGAATGTGATCTACCTGGATCATGAATGATTCGTTTGTTATGATGATCCATAATACTGTCAATAAGATGATGAACATAATCGTCATCGTCATGGCCATCGACATTAGTTTCTTGACGATCAAATGCGGTAACATTAATTTCTTCAAAATCTTGTACAACTTTTATCGCACGTTTATGATTAATCATATTCCATAGGCCATCAGATGCTAAAATTAAACATTTATCAGTCATCATATCCATTGGGATACATTTTACATCTGGTTCAGGTGATACGATAAATCGATTTAATCGTCGATTCAATGACCAAAGATCACCTAACGATCTTGCTACTGATAAAAATGGTATCAAATCATATACAATTTGAATGGTTGAATCATCAGAACGAATTATACGTCTTGGACGATTCCAAACAACACGACCTATTCCGGATTTATTCATAACTTGTCCACCGGCAGCTTCAATACGTTTTAATTCACGTGGTGATTCTGGTTTATGATCACGTGTCATTGGACATGCTTGCCAACGTGTAGAATTTTTCAATTTACGTCCTAGAACAATACGTGAATCACCAACATGACCTGTATAATATTTTCCATTCATAATGAATAATACTGATGCTGTTGTACCAGATGTTGATGGAAGACCCGATGTTGTTCGTGGCCATTTTTCTAAAAAAACAAAATTTTTATTAGTGGAATTCAAAAAATTGACGAAAAATCACTCACCAACTTCACGCATCATTTCTTTTTGTGTTCGAACAAAACCTTTATGGATAGCTAGACAAACTTGATCATCATCATCGGACCAGAATTTTCGCTGTCGTACAATATTATGACATAAATTTTGTCGTGAATAACGTGCAGCCTGATCGCCACCATGACCATCGAATATACCAAGAAATGCAAATGATTTATGAAATACATTTGATTCTTGATGATCATTACCATTCTTGATTGTTGTTGTTAATGTTGGTGGTTCATAATGAATTATAACAAATTCATCTTCCATATATTTACGGCTACCTTGATGTGATGAAACCGATATTCTTAATCGAAGATTATTCGATGATTCAAATTGTTGTTGTTGGTGGTAATGGTGACTTGATTCTTCATCGTGAAGTTTCATAATGATGTTACAGACCATTTACCGGATGATCAAGGACGGATCAATCAAATTAAAAAATAAAAAATTTAACTTTTTTTTTGAACACGACGTGTGTTTTATAGATAAACACATAAAAAATGACCCCCTCTTATTAATGACTGGTCATTATCACGAATTAAAAACGAGTAATTTTCGATAAAATATTGATTCAAATTCTGACTCAGATTCGAATGAGTGAGATGATTTACAATTCACACAGTATGACGATATTGTGTGAGTGAATTGTAAATGTGTGTGCGATGATTAATGATGATGATGATTATTGTAATCGAATCGAATTAATCAATCAATTTAAAAAAAACTTATGACTTGACAAAAAAAAACTACTGTAAATTTTCTGGCCAACAAAGATATCGTGACAATGACAATGACCGATAAGATGATGATAAAAAAAATTTGAAATTTGTTGATGATTGGATGATGATAATACTTTTTCCGTTTGTTTTTTTTTGTGAAAATTTTTCAAAATTTTGCCCAAATCCAAATCATCATCATTTCATCGTTTCATTGACATCTTGCATAATCACACACACACACACAGACAGAAAAATATCGAATGTTTTTTTTTGTCATCATCATTCTTCGAATACAATACACGCTCACACAACGAACAACGAACAAGAACAGAAACGCACACCAGATCAGATAGACAAAGAATACGAAAAAAGGCGCGTCATTGTGCCTCTTCCTTTATGTGTGTGTATTGGTTTTTGTTTTTGTGTCAATTTTATTTACAATCATTTCAGATAGATGGTAGTACTGTTTTCCATGATTGAATTATTCCAAATGTGCTGCCATCTTGTGTTTTTGTTTTTATTTTTAATTTTTTTCATTTTTAAAATTTTTAAATTATTCATTGATTCATTGATTATCGATCGATTGAAATGATATCCATTCATCATTCACAATTCCATCCATTTCCTCTGTCATCGACGACGGTGATGCCGATGATGGTATTAATCGTATCATTTTCGGTGTTGGCCATTCACAACTATATCATCAAATGGTCAAATGTCAAAAAAGAGGAATATGATGATTTGACCAAACCACAAACCTTTTACAAGATAAACTTGTGATAGTAATACTATTGATAAACATTCTGGTTTTTTTAATCCACAAGAAACGTTCCCATCGTATTTCGAGATTATTTTTCAATTGTTCCAAATCGCTATATAGAGCGATGGCTCGACTTTTACCCACATCTGCACAAGGTTCTGACCTGTAAGTAAGTGTGAGATGAAATGAATCAGATGAATCAATAAAATTTGTAATTTTCATACCATGTAATTAGATCCAAAACTTCATAACGATCATTTTCTGGATTCCTTACACGAATCGTTACACGTCGCAAAATTGGATCCATACCAGAAAATTGATTTGTATCATATTTCATATCGAATTTGATTAGATATTGATAACCTAACAAAATGAAAATATAAAAATTTTCCAGAAAATTTCTCATTAGATATCAGATGATAATTACGGAAAAATTGCTTTTCATTAGCTGTAATCATATAATAACGACGGCCAACAGTAATTTGATTCAATGAATTATCAACAACGGCGACAGATTGATTAATCGGTGCTAATCGTACACAACTGAATGGATCACGATTACAATCATAAACACATTGGCCTTGTACGAATGATTCCCATGAATCACAATCATAACCAATGGCTGGTATTCTAGCACCGGACACAGCTTCAATCATCAGCCATATGGCACGACGATGATGACAAGAATCAAATGTCAAGTCACTAATGGAAAAAGAAAAGGTAAATTGAATTATCTCGAATTTCACTTACTTTTCAATTTCTTTCGGACAACCAGGTTGATGATGTGCATCATTCATATACAGATCAACGTGGCCACAAGTATCCATCATGCCTGATGAAAATCCCGGTATAATCGTTCCACCATTCGTATGAATGTTGAAAACAAATCTGGCATCTGTATGCCACAGCCGGGAATTAGGATCTGGATGATTTTTAAAAAATGGTCCAGCTGGATCCAAACCATAAATACGACCGATTGAGCCATTTAGATATTTCCCTGCATAACCAGCAATATGTGCACCTAATGAATGTCCAACCAGTGTGAATGATTCATACGATGAAGAATTTACATTGGTCGTCGTATGGTTAGTATCAAATTGATTCACAAGTTTTTCAACAAGTTTTCCCACCATAATGCCAACAACACGTATGTTGGCAACAGCAAGTGAATATGAAATACCAGATTCTGATCGTCGTGATTCGACAATAAAAACATTGAAATCATCCAAATCAAGTAGCGTGTCTTTAAAGATATTCATCCATGGTTTAAGACTATGATGATTGAAACCATGCATCAGAATCCATGTTGGTTTTCTTGGATCAAAAAAAACAGGAAATTGTTGTGAATCTTCGTCATAAGCGAATTTTACTGGTTCATAACGATTTCGTCTGGTATGAAGCAAAAATAATGGACCAATTTCTTCTGGAGATTCAGGCAATAAAACAATTGGTCGATATATTGGATGTTTGAAATCTTTACTTGTAAATGTACCGATTCCAGGATATGTTATATTACTGATTCCATTAATCAAACGTGAACCTAACACAAAAAGAATGAAGGATAATGTTGTTGTGGCAGTAATTTCTGGTTTCATGATTATAGGAATTTTTTTTTTTGGTATTTGTTTGTAATCTTAGTGCACACATCGCTGATTCAAATGTTTTTATACAATCTCCACGAAACCATGACATCAATTTGCCATCGATTTTTTTTATTGAAAAACAACGAAAAATCACCTTCATCATTATCAATGTAATTGATCAATTTCCGTTAATGATGATCATCAATCTATATGGATTTGGATATGGATCAAGGATTCATCAACCAACCATCAAGTTCAACGATTAGAAAAAAAATCAAAAATTTATTTTTTCTGGTCTAAAATTCTGGTCTAAATTATATTCTCACAGGAACATGAAATGAAAATGACTACAACCGAATGAACGAATGAATGAAAAATTTCGACGATTTTTATTCATGATAAGCGATGACGAAAACGAAAAAAAAATTCATAATAGATGAACTACGCCCAATGCAGAGAAACGACGGCACCCATCCGGTTATTATTATTCATCCTCTCATGTCTGCATTACCTGGCGCCACATTTGATTATTCTTTTCATTTTTGTTTGTCAGACTAGACAATCCGATAATAAATATAAATAAAATGTAACCATTCCAACCAAAAAAAAAAAAAAAAAAATACTGCAAAATCATTAAAATTGGTAGACGAGCACGTCGATTATTCGTTTTTGTTGTTGTTGTTGTCGTTTTCTCTTCTCGGTTCTTGAGGCGGGTTAAATAACCAAATGCTAATAATAACCATATAAAGACAACTATAGAATTACTTTTGGGCAATAAACGATTACCCAATTTTTTTTCTTGTTTTATTTCACGGTAATTCAAATTCGGAATTTCATTTTCACGGAAATTTATTTTTATAGATAGAGGCCATATAAATGAATTAGGTTTTTTTCTGGAATTCTGAAACCAGGTCATCATCATCATCATCATCATCTGCGGAAGTGAGAAAAACAATTGTGTAATTCTGATGAATCGATTTCGAATGAAAATTCTTTGCCAAACGAAAAGAATTGTATGATCTAAAAACACAGAGAAAAAAAACACTGTCAACAACATTCTTCAGTGGTGGATAATAATTACCTTGTAAAATTCAAAGAATTGTTTTCGATAGACACTGTTTCCAATTATAGAAACCAACCGCCCATTTATCCATTGTTGTTGATCATTATCATCAACACTCAGTCAGTCAGCCATCTCAAGTTGAATAAGAAAAACAAAATTCTTTAAGAAATCAAGTTGTGGATTTGTCGAGCATCATAGAATGTGTCAAGCAGCAAACAAAAAAAAAATCCTGTTTGAAATTCTTTTATTTTTTTCCTGTAAACTTTTCTTCTTTTGTTTTGTTTTGTTGTCAGGAAAATTTTCTCATTTAATAAAAAATGTTTATTTTCGTTGGAAATTAAGTAATTATGTTCATCATGTTTTTTTTTCGATTCAAACACCTTCTTCGAAATGGCCATGAAATAATGATGATGAATAGAAATGGAGAAAATTTAATTGAAAAAGATTTCAATAAACGATTGGCAATCGAATAGACAGTCGACAATAGTTGTTACAGACGATAGTGGTAGTTGTTTTATTCCGCTTCTCAAGTGCAATGGATTTTCGGTATGATTAATTAAGTGTTTGTGTCTGTGTGTTTCATTCTTTATATTTTTTCCAGCGAAAAAAATGTTTTCCATGGAATTTTTTCTTCTTTGAAATTTGTTGCTGTCTGTTGTCGTTTTTTTTTATTAAAAAAAATCAATTAACACTATTCTAGCTGATTGAATTTGTTTTTCCTAAATCTTCTTTTCTAATAACTGTTGGCGCCAATCTGCTTGTTTTTTTTTGCTTTGAATGTAAATGGATATTTTGTCATCAAATGTCATATTTGTATTTATCAATCAATCAATTTGTGTCGATCTTAAATGTATTGATCGACAAACAAAAGCCGAAATGGAAAAAAAATACTCGGCATCACGTTTGAGAAATAAAAATCTAGGTCAATCGGTCATTACGAATTTTATTTTTTTTCTGTGGGGGGAGGGAGTAATGAAAAAGTAGAACAAATGAATCTTTTGGAAATGAAAGAATTAACATTGTGCCAGACAAAGAATAATTTATTCTGTCAACATCAGAACAAAGAACAAAGAATTAGAATTCATCAAAAAAAATAGGAAATATTTTCGGAAGCCAAATGTAGCTCCAATACAATCAATTATCATCATTGGAAAAACAAACACACACAGACTTATTGATTTTAAATTACATCGATACACAATGAATGATTACTTTTTCCTATTCATTTTGCTGTTTATATAAATCGAGAATGAGAGTGAGAAAAAAAAAAAATAAAAGGGTTAAATATGAAGAAAGAGAAAAAACAAACAAACATCCCATTATGATCGATTGATTGGTCGATCAATATATTGATTGATTTATGATTGTTTGGTTGCTGATTACAATTTTTTGTTTATTTTGTTTCGATTTGTCATCATCATCAACATTTAATTTGATTCAATTCAAAAAAGTAGGAAATAAATCAACAACTTGATCAAGACAGACGACAGAAAACGAAATTTAAATATAAAAATTCCGTCTCGGGTAATTTGGTTTTCTCAAAGAAACTTTTACTTTTGTACATTTTGTACATCCATTCATTCATCAATGGAGAAAAGATTAAATTATGAACATCATCATCATCATCAACAATAACAACAACCAGCATAAAGACCTTGAGCTAGATTGAAATGAAAAAAAAAATTTGCTGGCTGGCATAAAGGGTTGTTGTTGTTGTTGTTGTTGGTGGTGGTGATATCAATTTTCTCGTCTTGATTCATTTGATATTACATCCGTCAATCAATCAATGATGATTTTTTTTTCTCAACAACAGAAACAAAAAATCAATATCTGTGGTTATCATCGATAAAGATTTTTTTTCCAACAAAAATTTGTCCTTTGAATAACGTTGTTGATGATGATTCAGTCATCAAACGGAGAAAAACAGAAATGAAATGAAAATGAATCGATATCAATTTGATTGATTTTATTGACCAAATAATTATTTTTTCTACAACAAAATTATTTAATTATCACAATAACCATAATGTCGTGTTTTGGTTGTATTGATTCATTGATTGATTGATTGATTGATTACGGTGTTTTACCATTATTTCATTACTCAAAAGCCAACGTGTGTGCGTGTGTGTATGTGTGTTTGTGACAATGACAATCGGTGGTGGTGGTAAATAACTTGCCCATTTCCAACTAAATTCATGGAGATTATCCAAGAGAAAAAAAACATAGCAACAATCATCGATTGATTAGATGCCGTTTGGATCATATTAAATTGTATTTTTCCAAGAAATGACTAACCAGAAAAATCAAGCCAAGCCAAATTATTCATTTCGAATGAGATTTTATCATCTTTAAAAAAAATGATGATGATGATATCAGATATCGGATATGATTTCCACACACACACACACAATGATGATTGTTATTAGACAGAGGACAGATACAATAATGAGAAAAAAAAGACAACACGCAAATAGCAGTAGTTAAAAATTTCGAAAGATAAGATCATCACCATTTGTTTCGGTTGTGTAGTATCATCGTTTAGTGAAAAATTTGACAAAGTCATAAGAAAACTATACGAAACAACATAACAACATCAAAAGCTTGACATTTGACATTTTTATTCAATTGTCTTTTTTTTTTTGTTCTACTTTGCCAGAAAAATTAATTATTTAATATTTGGCTAAAAGAAGCAAAGAAATAGCTTCCATGTCTTCTTCCTATTCTTCTTCTTCTTCTAGTGAAATTCACTAGCGGAAAACCACAATCATACACACAAACTGTGATTTTATTTTCACTCAAAAAATACACCAAAACATTTGATATTTATTTTGGATTTGTTGTTGTCAACAGCAACACAAGAAATCTTAAACCTCCAACAAACAAATCAGCAATACTGGCATTGGCATCAATTGGTGTTTTCAATCAGAAAATAAATACACTTTTTCTGTCTGTCTGTGTGTGTGTGTGTGTGTATGCAATGCAACAAATTTGAGAATACCAAATCTTATGGATTACAAGAGATTTTGGAGTTTTTTCTTTTCGTTTTTTCGTCGCCATTCACAATAAATACAAGAAAATCTTGTGTGTGTGTGTGTGTGTTGAAAATTATGTTTGAATTGAACAAAATTGTGCAGTTTTCCTGTTTTGATTAAATTATTTACGACTGATAATTTTCATCACCATTCAACGCTTTTATTACGATTTTTCTTTTTTATTTCTTCAATTTAAGGTGAGATCACATTTTTTTCTCTCTCTCCACGATTCATTTGTGGAAAATTCAATTTTACGTTTGCAAACGTTTTTTTTATTATTGATTTATGGTGGTCACACAACTGTTCTGTGGCCATTTAATTTAATTGAAATTTAAATTTTTTTTTTACCATTTTAAGACATTCAATACCAACAACAACAACAACAATACAGCAGATGTCTTTGTTGTTGTTGTTGATGTTGTAGCCATCATGGTGGCCAATTCAGAAAATCAACATGTTTTCAAAATGAAAACAAAAAAAAATATCGCTGATGATGCCATAATGATGCGCATGTATGTTTTGAATTATTATTTTTTTTTTTGAACAAAAACAAAAAAATAATTCAAAGGCATACGCCCAAAAATAAATAATATTTCGATGTCATCATCATCATCATCATCATGGTTACAACAACCGTTATGATCAGGTTTTTTTTTTTTTGAAATGAAATGAAAAAATTCTTGAAATTTCATTTCGTACCACTACCACAAATTATCTTGTAATTCAAGAATTTTTTCGTTTCGGATGGTTAAATTTTTGTTTCGTCTAATTAAATTATGTTTTGATTTGGATATTTACTTTGTAGCTTGTTGTTGTTGTTGTTGTTGCTGGTGATGATGGTATCATTTTATAGTATTCCGTTATGAACTTTTTTATTTTGTTTTGTTTTAGCAACGATCAAGGTCATAACATTCATCCGATCGATCCAACAACGATCTATCAATGACGTTTAACCTCGAAATAATTATCATTTCTGTTATTTGATGATAATAATTTAATTATACCAACCAGCCAGACAGATAGATAGAGTAGACATAGTGACATGTGAATAAATATACAATTGAATGGAATTCACACAATTCACAAAACAAACGGGAAAAAAATTTCATTTCATTCCATTCCATTCAATTCAATTTTGTTGTTGTCTGTTGTCTGTCTGTGAACAATGATTTTTGTCTTTTATATTTATTTTCACATTTTATAATGGCAATGTTTTGTTCTTCATTTCTTTCTCTCCGTTTGTATGATACACACACACACACACACACACACACACACAAACAAACAAAAACGAATACAGTTTACATTGGCTTACGACCAAAAAAAAACTCGACCCGAAACGGATTCATTCATTTGATCACACGAATTCAAAAACAAAAAAAGCCAGTCTGTACGTGGTGCTGGTGGTGGTGATGGTCTTGGAAATTCGGTTTAATTGACAATTGCCAATTATTCAGGTCACACACACATGTAGTACATAGTGGCATAATCTTCCGGTTTTTTTCATCATCATCATCATTGTCAACGAAAATTCAACGAATTTTTTTTGTTCATTTCCAATCATTTTCAACAATCTTGATTCGCCCTGATTCATATGCGTTTTATTTTATTTATTTTAAATTACGAAAAAAAAATAATGCCAATTTCAAGGCCCAATCTAGTTATTTAGTTAGTTATTATTATCAATCATCAACAACATTATTATGGTGAAAATTAACAAAAAAAAATGATCAAATATCATCATCCAGTATTTTATGTTGTGTGAATATATGGCACAAACGTAAATTGACTAATAAAAAAAAACACGCCAACGCATGCGCTTTTGTTATATGTTCTTTCTGATTATGGTGATTATGATGACGAAAAAATGCAAACAAACAAGTGTTTTTTTTCACCGGCAAATTATAATGTTGACAATAACAGAATAAAAAAAAAAATTTCAAAATAGCAAGAGATTCGTGATTTGTTTTTAATGAAAACAACGAGAAAAAGGTCAAATATAATAATTTAAAAAAAACACCCACACACACACCCACGCACACATGTCGCGAATGTAATATGGTGGTGGTGGATTTTTTCATTTGGAAAATTTCTTGTAAATTTTCATTTTTTCTCTTGTTCAAGTTGCTGTTATTCAATAATTCTTCAAAGAAATTCTTTTCTTTTTCCATTTTTCATTATTTGATTATTGAAAAACGAACAAAACAAGCAAATCACTTAATCATTGAAGATTTTC